CACATGGGGAATCCCCATTGGATTTCAAGTCCAACGCCTTAACCACTCGGCCATCACAGCTCATTGTGAAAGAGATTGCTTTTCTTCATGTTAAACCGTATTATTCTGGGTTTGTTTACCTGACTTGTTAAAACGAATTTTCCCTAAAATTTTAAAATTCACTACTCTTGTGTTTGGAAAATCAATACACAAAAAATTAAAATAATTATTTATGGATTATGGTTAAGTACTAAATATTTTTAAAATATGGGATGAATGATTAAAAAGTGCAAAAGAGACCTGTTGCTAATAAAAAGAAAAATTTGCAAATTTTTTTCATATTTTTGATACTATTATATTGTAACTTTAATTATTCATACATTTTTTCAAATAAAATTTAATTTTTTCCCCTGTAATTAAGAAATTAAAGATTACAAGTTATCAACATGTCCCCTACAATGGAATATCTTTAAATTAAAATTTTGTTAAAAAGTCTACAATTCCAGCTTTGAAATTAGTGTTAACAATAATGTTAAACTGTATTTTTAACAACCATTTTACTTTAAATTTCAATTTTATTTTGTTAAGTCAATTATTAAAATAAATAATATAACATAATATACATACTTAAATTTTAAGAAAAAAATACAGCACAATTGTAAATGAATTCTCATTATGGAGTATAATGATAATAGGAGCCCTTAACCATAACTAGATAACTGTAAAATGAAGAAAAGCTTTTGCAATATATTGTTAACTCTTTGCAAATACTTCATAATTATTATACTTTGTTCTGACAGTTTTAAATATAGGTGAAGAAATAAAATTTCCGAAGGACTCTTGTAAAAATTTTATACACTTCACATGGCACTTAAAATTTTATCTTTATTCTTTCATGTCAATCTATCACATCATCATCATCATCACTTGTCCCGCTTTTGTTTGAAATTACATGGAAAGTACATGGCAAATATTTTTTATAAAACAGGTCCACAGCTCCTTATTTTTCTGCTAAATTTGAAGTGCCCCTTCCAACAAAAATATTTTTAGCAATATGAAGTTTGTAGATGATTATAAGCCTCTCTTAGAAAAAATTTTTGAATTTGGTCAAATCATCAAGCTTTTATGGCTTCTTGAAGCTATGAATTTTTGTCCCATGGCCGTTGTTTTCCGTATTACAAAAGAAACTGGCACTAGAAGATATTTTATCGTCACCCAAGCTAGTCGGCATTTGGGGATAATTAGCTTGTACTATATATACACGTTCGTTTACGCTGTTTTTTTTATAAAATTCGAGGGACTTATGTCTTGCTAAGAAAGCAATGAATCGAAATCGGAATGGAGTGTTCAGTTTGATAATTCTGACAAAAACGTTATAGGGGGATACGTGATAGAAAACTCGGAAGACAATAAAACTTGCGCGATGATGATTCCGATTTTGACTCGAAATCATGGAAGGTCGGAAAGAATCAAATCCAATCTCATTTTTTTTAAGCCTTGGAAAATTAGCGTTCTTTTGATTTGGCAATTAATCTAGTAAATTGACGCTCCAAATCCTCTGGTCTTAAGTGAGCCCAATAAAGTGTTGAAGCAATGGAAGGCTCAAAAATGCACTTTGCTTTAAAACTTGGATATCCTATCTTCGCTTAGCCTCTGGGTCAAACTTTTGTGTTTTTTGTGATAATATCAACACCAATCACATTTACAATGCGCAAAAACACATGACAACGCATTTCACTTCATCTGATCGCACTCACAATACACCAAACCCAAGATAACCCATTTCACTCCATCCAATGACATTAATCCTCCCGCTAATCCAATAAGATGCTCTAAGCGTCTACAAGCTAAAAGCAACTGTAAATAGATAACTTCCTCAATCTGATGAAGGCTGGAAGCAACGAGTCAAATGCCCAATAAAAACCATTTAAAATCCAGAGAATCTTTTATTTATCTACATTTATGACTGGATTACCAATTTTCAAACTTATATACAAAATTATATTTTAGGACATGACACACGTACAACCTGTTTAGTGACTTATTTGTGTCTGTCCTATTTTCTTTACGCTAGTAAGCAAAACTCAAAAAAAAGCAAGCAAAAAAGAAGCACAGCGTTTTGCTAACCATCGTGAGGCTGATCTCAGTGTGATAAAAAATGTTCTGGACTTACAACATTTGTTGAATGCATTTGATGATGCCAGAGTGGATGTTCTAAATTGCACAAATGGTGATTTGGTGAGTGTGTTTGGACGTTTCCAATTGAAGCAGTCTTTTCTTTCATGGTGAATTGTTTGTATGTCATTTAAAGTGTTTGTTGACTTATTAATTCCTCTCATATTAAGGTAATTAAGTTTAATTTTTGGATATTTCTTGAGTCATTTGCTACATCTTACAAATACCAGATGGTTAAAGGAAGAAATTTATATTCATTGTTTACATTGTCTAATAATTACTTTGTTTTGACTACTGCAGCAAAAGTTTTGGTCAATTATATGGAGACTGTTAGTTTAGCTGCAGATGAAAATTGTGTTTTTTTTTACTTTCATATATTAGTAGCTAGGTACCTATCTGGATGAAAGGTTTTCATTAAGCTTAACCTAGACAAAATTATTGTCATTGTTAATTTGCGAGCTATGCAAAGGTTGATGTCTTGCTGGAATCGAAATTGTTCTAGATAGTCATAAGCATTATCTTAACAAACTGATTTTTACTCATGATAGCAAAGGAAACCTTGAGTTTAAAATGTGGATTTTGTTGTACATATGTATGAGAATAAATTACATAAATCACACGTGACTGATACGAAGACCATGAACGAATCAAAATCTCTTTTCGATCATTTCACGTGTGAATGTCAATATTGATCATGTAGCCATGAGGAGCCCTTTGGACAGCCTCTTTCCCAATATATTTATGTCCTTCAAGGAGAAATCATGGTTAAAGAAATGACCATTTCATTTCAAGCCACTCCTATAACGTAGATGACTGTTTCCTGAGGAAAATTTCCTCCTCTTTAGTTCCTCAGAGAATATACCTATCTGTCTTCATTTCTTAATCAAAAAACATTCAAATGTTCGTTTCAATTCTGAATTAGAAAAGGACGGCAAACTTCTCTTTCTCGACGTCGAAATAACTTGTTCTAACTGTGCATTATCCATTTCTGTTTACACAAAAATCCACCCTCACAGGTCTCAACCAAATTCCATAGATTTATACCTCTCACTATCAAACGCTCCATAGCTTCTTGCCTCAGTCACTGATATTTCCAATCTATGTCGATATTTTGCACTTAGAAGCACATATGTCAAAGTCTCATGCAAAGTGATCAGTAAGCAGAAGTTGGTATAGAGTCAGAAAATCAAAATATGGCAACTTTGCAGACAATAAGACCAATTTTGAATAAGTTAATTTTAGCAAATTTTAATGATGATCTTGTTCCTTTTTGTAGGTCAGTGTGATCACTGTAAATTCTAGGCTATATGCCCACCAAGCTGTGGACATAAAATCTACATATCAGACGTGGAGGAGAGGCTCGTGGAGGGCTTACACTTTCAATGTCCGATTTGCTGTTAGTCAATTAATATGCTTCCTAAATGTTCTAGTTGTTTGCATGTAATGTCCACTGCTTTATATTGTAGCCATTACGTTGAAGAAGTTGATTAATTTTTATAAGATTTTTTCCAGTATGTATTTTTATAATCCTTTATCTTTTGAACATTGGTAAAGTAGAGCAGTCAGTAAGATTGATTTTTTTTTATATCAGAGTGGTTATAGCAAGTTTCTTTCAATAAACTAACTGTTTTTTACCAATAAAATTTATTTAGGAATTCCAGCGTCACATGTTCTAATTTTTTTCCTGTCTTAAATATTTTTCTCCAACCACTTGATAAGTTCTAGCCCATTTAACATCGGAGTCATGTCGTGTAAACTATCAAGGAAGGCTTACATGACTTCTTCATCAATTACTGCATCATCAAAATATATCGATACCCTTTGCACGTCGGCATCATGAAACATTATGTCGCCTTTGGGATGTGTGATCAACACGACAGCCATCTTAGTCTTTTGATACAAGTTCATATATTTTAAAACAAATTTCAGTAGCATAGCACTTTGACAATTTACTTTGTATATTGCTTTGGCGTTGGTCTAATGCATTTTTCTCGTAGTCAAATTCGAAGGACGATTCCTTCACTTTCTTTGCTTGCTCAATGTCGACTTTTAAGCCATTTTCTCTTTAATTATACAAAAATTACCAAATAACTTTAACTCAATAAAATTTTAACGTGTTGCCATTTTTTATTTATGTAAAAAAAAGAAAACGGATCTTACTTTAAGAATAGAGAACAATTGACAATTTTGAATTAATTTCCATCGTGTCATCCAATAACAAACTTCGTTTATTTTTGCCTGGTTTCCGGTTTATACTTCATAGGTCTGCAAACTAATTGACTCTGGTAATAGCTCTCGAAAAATGCTGATATCAGCGATATTTCTTGACACACAATCCACCACACTGTCAGACGAAGCGTTATTATTAATAATTCTATTTTTCCATGATTATATTGAATGTTTTATGTTGGCCAATTATATTCATACTTAAAATTTGCCTCCGCGTGGTAAATCCATTGCCACAAATTATGAAATACAACTAACCCGTTTCACCTGACGATAAATACATGAAATATGACCTGAAAATAGCTTTCTGGACATCGTTAAAACCCCAGTGAATTTTCTACAGATTTTGATTAGGAGAGAATATTGTAATGAGGAAACTGGCTAAAATAAAAAAAACAAGAGTGTTTACTAAAAACAATAATCATCTTAAAACTTGACGCATTCTTGTCATTTATGTATGTAAGTTAATTATGAGACTAGGATAAAAAAATTAAATTTTATTTAACTGGTAAAAACTCGGTGAACATTTCACACAAGCTGCTGTGTTATTTTATGAGGATTTTGCATAATGTGCGCTTGAATGACGTTTCATGTGATGATGACGTCACATGCCCCATGTGCTTGATGCATATTGAAAAAGATTTATGTTGAGTTAATAGTTTCAACGAGAAAGTCTTTGTATTTCTTCTACACAGTATGCCAGTAGCTTCATTAAAACCCAACCAAGTTGCTTCAAACGACAATATGGACAATGCTAAAACTTTGATCGCGATTATCGACAAGAAAGTTAGAAATCTTGAGAAGAGAAAGGTTTGTATATGTTTGTGTTGTGTTCCGGGAACGACGGCTGAAAATATGCTTGTACTTCTGAATTATCGTCACGATAATCATAAGCAATAATACATGAATCGTTTGCATTAAAAATTTTTGTATTTCAACAAGAAAAGTGCGGGCAAATTTTATTCAACCTTGTGAAGAATTAACGACATTTCTCTTTCGTTATTGCAAACCAACACCCAGACGGCGAGCAACTTTGTAATGTTTAGCGTTTCCTTCAGCCCAATCACCCGTAAAAGCTGTCATTTTTAAATGAATTTTACTTTTATGTGTTTCAAGTGCATTTTATTTGTCTTTTTTGAATGAAAAGTTGACTAACATATTTATAAAGAAAATTAATGTGTTTTTGTTTTTAAGGCTATGTGGCACACAATAAACTTTTATAAATAAATGAATATTTAGTGTTTTGCGTTTCTTTACATCGTTCTTAAGTCTTATTTTCATCTTTGCATCGCGTTAAAACAATGAACACGTCTAAAGTACTTGTTATTAAAGTAAAATGTTTATTGAACAGTATTCTCTTCATTACCTAGTGCACATAAGGTCTTCACTGAGTTACATATTAATGGTTTAATAATATTAAGTTCTTTCTTGACTTCTGAACTATTGAAAATTGTTTACACTTGAGATTAGATCAAGCAATTCTTTATTTTGTTAGGGTCTCCTTATCTCAAATAAACAAAATTATGTTGCTTTTGCTTGCATACACTAGATTAGCCAATATAATTAACCATCTGAAAAGTCCTCTGGGCATTAATTTTTGAATTTGTGTACATTGTTAGTGTTTAGTAATGCTCTGTTATAGGATTTTACCCAGTTACCGATTTTAAAATGGTGATATTGTGCCAGTACCGATATTCTATACCATTTATGAAACCTAAATATCATAAAGTATGCCTGTTTTTGCTCACCATTGTTCATTTGTTATAAATGTAAAGTTCACAGTGATTTACACTGCAACCATATTTCACCAAGTTCATGTGGAACTAACAAATTTAAAGTTGTATTTATTCAACAAAAATTGTCAAGGTAATATTGTTCAACTATGAGTCATTTTAATTGCATTTCTATTTCAATGAAATGTCCAAATATCAATTATACAAGCAAGAAAAATATCGATAATTCTATTGTAGAGACAATGCATGGATATGCGGGTATTGATATGGGTGCATCAGAAAGTGTTTTGCCTTGAAACAGTTAAACACAAGCAAATTATGTAACCTTTAAATGAGGCTCATAAAATTTAATTTTTGTATTTATAGGGTAAATTAGACTCTTACAAACAACTAGTTGCTGATGGTAAAGAGTTGAATGATGACCAACAGGTATGTCATAGGTCATTATAGGATACATTTATTCATTTATAATGTACATATTTGTTCATCCCCTTAGGAACATAGCTATTTTACTGGTTAATCTTATTGAAAAGAGAAATATTGACCTTTTATATTTATTTTTAATGTAATTATTTGATACGTAGGCAACCCATCTTGTTTCAGCAAACTCCTTTGCTAGTTTTTGCTTTGATTAAGTAGCAATACCTAGTTGTTGAAAGAGATTTACTTCAGTAAATGATGTCAAATTTTTCATTGTGTCCCATTGTGCAGTATAATACTTTATAAAATATACACAACGTAACACGTGCAGTGATTGGTCTTGAGCTGAGTTTGCATTAGCCAGTACAAAACATATCTGGGCTCAACCAATCAAATCAAACTAAACAATCAGTAAAAGAAAATTTGCAAATCGATCATGAATACATTTTAGAGGAAAAATTAAAATGTTTCTCTTTTTTGAATTATTGTTATTTTATAAAAGAAATAAAAGATGTTTTTAGTGTTTACACTGATTTATGCAAACCTCTGAGACATCTCGAGCATATGCAACCTTTGGTCTCGGCCTTGCACTGATCTGCTCTTGAGTTTTCCTAAAAGTCTCCTCGGTTTGCATAAGCCTGTGCAAACACAGCAAACATTTATTTCTTAAGTATATTCTGTAAGATAAAGCATGGTTAATTTGAAAACATTTAGAAAAAGCCAGCTAAGTCTACTTACATGCTTTACTTCAAACCAATGACTTTCCATACATATTACCTACACGTAAAAGATTTTATTGAATAATTTACACAAACAATATTTGACAAGGATTTATGTTTCCAAGTGTTGCTCTTTATGACTGTAATTTTTTTTATTATTTAGGCGGCCATTCAAAATCTTGATTCTGTTGAGTTAAATCTCGAATTTGCTAAAGACTTACAAAAACAATTCAATCAGTTTGCATCCGAGGTAAAGATCATTATGTTGTATGTTATTTATTCATAGATATTTTAGTTAATTAAATTACTTGTTTCTTACCTTGTTCAAACCTGTCTTAATGCCATTTTTTCTAATTTGGGTTTTCAATTATTTGTTTGTTGCGCTATTGTGAAATTGAATGTCTATTTTGCTCATGGTCTTTAAATTTTTTATATCTTCCCGTTTCAGTTTCCACTCTTATTTACATATCATGTCTCAATTTAAAGAATCCATGTCACAATACTGTATATACCAATATCAATATTGAGCCAGTACCATGTTCGATATGTAGCATTTATGCCATTTAACATCATGCATATGCATGCTGTATATGCAAGTACTAAGTACAGTGTGCGAATTAAGGGTGTGCAATGTGCAATTTGCACATTGTTTTAGCTAAAATGAAAACAATTGCACATCGCTTTTTCAAACAATGTGCAAAAATAAGTGGTTTTGATGAAAAACACTTGTAAATCATATGAATTTGTTCACGTTTAAAAATATTAATTTAGCAGTTAGAGCTGTATAATAAATAACGTAATAATTTGATTATGCCTCTAAAGAGACACTTTTGTCAAAAAACTTGCACATCGTTCTTTCTGAACTAATTCGCACACTGACTAAGTAAATACGTAGCATGTGTATTTCAATACCACTATATCTTAAAATATCGTGGAATATCCTGTATTCATGAGTGTATGGTATGCAGAGTAGAAAGTACTTTGGCTAATTGCTGATAGTTGGATAATGGTTGTAAAATTATTGATGCTCTTATTGTGTTGTATTGATATATATATTTTTGTAAATGTACTAGGACATGACGTACAACCTGTTTAGTGATTTATTTGTGTCTGTCCTATTTTCCATTCATCAGCAAGCAAAACTCCAAAAGAAGCAAGCAAAAAAAGAAGAAGCACAGCGACTTGCTTACCGTCGTGACGCTGATCTCAGTATTATAAAAAATGTACTGGACTTACAGAATTTGTTGAATCAACTTGATGATGCCAGAGAGGATTTTGTAAAAGGCACAAATGGTGCTTTGGTGAGTGTGTTTTGCCTTTTCCAATTAAAGTAGTCTTTTGTTTCATGGTGTATTGTTTTTATGTCATCTAAGGTTTTGAGAACTTATCAGTTCCTATCGAATTAAGGTTGTTAAGTTTAGTTTTGAGATATTTCAAAAAAATTTTCTGCATCCTATGTACTCAATGATTAAAAGAAGAAATTGGATGTCATTGTTCACATTGTTTAATGATAAATTTGTTTTGACTACTGAAGCCAATGTTTTGGTCTTTTATGGAAATGATGCAGTTCACCTGCAAATGAAAATTGGGTTATTTTTTGCGACTGTCAGATCTTAACTTATGTTAGTGAAAGGTTTTCATTATGCTTAAAGTGCTCATATCCCCAAATTTTTCTCCGGCAAAATGAGATCTTGTTATTGTTTCTAGTGTTACTGCAAAAATAAAAGCTGAATTGGTAAAATCCTTCAATTTTTATCGTGCTGTAAGGCACGACAACAAAAATCGACTTTTGAGAGGATCACGTCCGTGGCAGGTAGAAGCCTGAAACTAGTAAATGTTTTGACGTCATCGAAAGAGTCATGAGCTACAATCTATATTTACAATATCTTTGCATATATAATTTTGGGTTCGATTTTTCGATGAAAAAACATATTGTATTTTGGAATATGGAATCGTTGTTTAGCTCGTAAATTCGCATATAAAGTGTGCCTTAACGACAAACGAATAGAAGTAAAGAAACGACAAAGAATATTAGTTGACTTTGTGTATGCAAAACGCTTCTTTAAACCATTTGAGTGTTAAAAAGTATATTTTGCAGATTTAAGCCTAAAGCGACGCTTTTCAATGTTGCCCGATGAAAAGAAAGTAAATCGTGTTCAAGCCCTTTGAGATAAAAGAATCGTTAACGTCAGTCTACAATAACACTATGAGAAAATGCTACATTGTTTATTATTCAGATATAACCTTGTTTTATAATGCTGAATACTATAACCACTCGCTTACATTCACAGAACAAAGGAGTCGATTTTATATCATTTCTAACGTTGTAAGCCTTTTCTTACATGCTCACTGTACCTGCTAACGATATTTTTAGCTCAAGCTCCGTCCTGCATATGCTGCTAAACCGTTGTTATTTTCGCTAACATCTTTTGTGGTCATGTCTTCAGTCTATTAAATAAAATTCCTCGAAATGAAGTTAATGTTTGAGTCATGCATCTTAGAACTTTGCGATAACTCTTCATTAGCTAAAAATAAAGAATATGACCACCACAAAATTCCTTTGAAAATTAGAAAAGATTTATGAATTAGTCGTGAAATTTGACCATACTTTGTCTACCACGTATAACATCAAAAATAAAACAATGCTCCGGACTCCCTTGCATGACGTCAAAAAGCTAGAGCCAGTCTCTTTGCCGTCACAAAGTACGACGTCCGCGGTCCATCGAATACTCAACATAAATCGCGATAAAAATTGAACGATTTGACCAAATTGAAATCTGTTTGCTCCAAAATACTATAAATAATGTCGGACGATTATGGGCACTTAACATCGACAAAATTATCGTCATTGTCAATTTGCGATTTACCCAAAGGATAATATCTTGCTTGAATTGAACTTTTGTCAATATTCAAAATCATTGTCAACTGATTTTTACTCGGGCTAGCAAAGGTAAGCCCGAGTTTAAAATACCGATTTTTGGGCTCCTGTCTCGCGATTACTTAAATCATGCGTGACTGACACGAAGTTCTTGAACCAATCAAACTTTCACATGTGAGTTTCACTACTAACACGTATAATGACGTATTTACTTACGATATGTACAGTATGTGATATTGCAATGACGTAAATTTCCTTGTTCTATTCAGTGATGGATTTATAGGAGGTACACGTGACTGCTCACTTCTTTAGACTAAGGTCAACATGGCTGCATAGAGCGATGAAAATTACGAAAAATAAAATTAAAATCCATTCTACTTTAAATCAAAAAAGCCTTAGCGACTATATCGTTAAAGTTTACTGACTTTCAATGATATTTATTTTAATTAAAAGGCGTTAATGATATTTATTTAGTTGATGAGAACTGGAACTAGTATCTACTTTTAATAACGAGTAGCTTAATGAATAATTGTTTACCAAATGCCGAACTTAAGATGATCACTAAGTCAAGCAACTCCTTAAAAATCTTTGTTTGATTTACAACTGATGCTATTTGGCAACTGTTTTACGCAAATATCACCAAACAATGTTTTCAAGTAGTCAGAGTAAATGCCTGAAAGGTTTGTTTTTTGTTTGTGTAGATAAATTATTAATTTTTGTATTTCAGGCATTAGGTGAAGAGGTGATGACACAGATTGATGAACTTTATCAAGCCATCACTCCAGGTGAAGAGAAAGAGATATCAGTGGATGAACAGCTGACTGTTGCAAGTCAACATCTCGTGGAATATTTCTCTTCTTCATTGAAGGAATTTCATGGTACAACTTGTATCCTTTAATTACTCTTAGCTACATGAAGTATTATCAGGTTCTTGGTAACAGCATGTCGAAACTGGTATACGTAGTTCATTACAGGTTTCAGGCAGGATTACAACTATGTTGAAATTTCTTTTTTAGCGTTTTAGTTTAGCTTATTTTAATTTCTTATTTTGTATACGCACCTTTCTCTTAAAATTACGTAGCATCGTTATTACGAGAAACAAATTTGATAATGCATCGCTATTTGTCTACGTACGAAAGGCAATACAATTTGGCTGTTTGTTTTTATTATAAAAATATTCCCAAATTTTACGTAATTGCATTCTGTAATGCGCTACTCTTGGACTGCGGGTCTACGCTGACTTCACATAGTTGCGTTTCAGGCTTTAAGAATCCTCGTAAGCTTGAGCATTAACTGTTTTATGCGACTTTATTTTTTTGTAATTTAATCGGTTTTGCTCTACATAACATACACATTGTTCATGTTTCTTATGACTTATGAATATTCATGTGAAATTTTACAACCGTGTGTCTATGTTTGTATTCAGTAAAATGTCCGTATAATGTTTTTGTATCTATGTTGCTTAGACAGTTTGATTTTAAACACTTTGGTGATATTTTTTATTTTTAAAAAATTTGAACTTTGTGAGTTTTTTGCCCATCTAAGTTAGAGATTTAAGTATTTTTAACGTTTGACCGCCAGTATGAAAAAACTGGTAACTAATATTTGTGAAAGTCAAATCGGAAACTCGTTTGTGATGCCGCACTATATTTTATATAGGATCATGTAGAAAACTGCCGATATACATAAACTAATTTTTTTTTGTAAAATTGTTTTATAATATATAAGCAAATGAAAACAAAGTGCAATGTGAAATTCGACCTAATAATTATTCTGTTTTAGTGTTTTCAAAGTGCGTGTTCCCCATTTGACGTCAGATACTGACTCTCGTCCTAGTTTTTTGCAATCACGGCCAAGGAAAAAATTATCAACTTTGAGCGAGAAAAAAATCAGCGAAAATCCAGGTTTCGACTTATAAAATATAGAGCAAAAATGTTCAAAATCTGAAAAGCCCGATTTCAATAACATGATACTGACACTCTAATGAAACAATATTAGCTTATACGTATCACGTGTTTTACGCATGATGAATAAGTGATTTTACTCAACGCTTCATTCTCAGTGTTAGAAAGGTTGTTAGCATTAATCTTTTGACTGTTTCTTCATTATATTTCCCATAGTTGCGTGATTGTAGTAGGCTATAGGTAATAATTATGTTGGTGCGTAAAAATATACATTGGGATGTTTAATTTGCTTTTACAAATTATATGAATTATTTTTTTATGAATTGTTTGGGATTGATATAAATACGTGAAGTAACAAAGTAATCATGAAAATCATATTTCTCCTAAACGAGCGCTTTAGATAAAAGTTTATTTGAAGCGATAACGAGTATCAAGGATTCTGGATATTTTACCAAAAAGGATGAGGAACCTGAGGAACCTGAAGGAGAAGTAGGGTATATCAAAGAGGAGGATAATGAAGGATCTAAAGAGTCTAATGAGGATGCGGAATTCGAGGAAGAAGTATCTCCTGATGTTGTTGAAAGTGTTGAACCTGTGGAGGTACGTAAGACAAAATTGACAAATATACGTTTGCTTATAGCACGAATTCAATGTTTACGATGACCATACGTCGTTTATTGTGGAAGTTAAGGATGTTTCACCAATATCTGAGATGTTTAAACCAGCCCAAATATTCTACATGCCGTACAATATACGTCATATTTTCTGCGGCGAAAGTTCTCTTTCTTAAATATCCGAGTTTAGATACGGCGGAAGTTTATTTCCAGTCTCAAAGTTATTCTTTGTGCCACTGTCATCAATAAGTAATATTTTCTACTGTAGCTCGTTATATTTCGTATCTGGTCACTGGTTACTTATCTACGTTACATCACAACGAAACTGGCCTCCTTCAGACATTCCTAATCTTTTATAGTAAATACGCCAAGTACTCGGTCATTTGCATTAGTGTGGCAATAAGTGCATTTTTACTATATATTGTCTGATGAGTATAGACTCCCACCTGCCTCATATAGTTGCAAAGTTCAGAACCAGGGGGGTGTTTGCATGTATATGCACGTATGTACTTATCATTTTCAGCTATGCCTTTATAATTTTATATTTTTATCGTATATTTTATGTTAAACATGTATGTGTTAGAACTTTAAAAATCATATTGCGGAATGCTTTTCAAGAATTTTCAATTCACCATTGTGCATGCTTAACCTATTTACATTTATAAGTGTACAACAAATGGATTACAAAACTTTACAATTCTTTGATTTATCCCTTCTTTATGCTAGTCTAAGAGAATGTGTACCAACCAAAATGCATTGCGCGTTATTCACGAGTGCCAACATTTTGGCTTAGAAAATAGCGGATTTTCGTTAGTCATGACTCTGTTAAAATTGTCGACTCCGTATTTTTTATATTAGCGATCTTACATTAGGTCATTTTGAAAAGATGTGTTTTTGTAGAAGCTGGTGAACGGCCAATTTCTTGTTGATTAACTTGTGTCAAGTGACTTTTTAGGACAACTATGCGACGTACTTGTGCCTCAGGCTCAGAAAATAATGATATAAACGTAAAGAAAGCGCGCAGTGCATCTTGGTTGATACAATAATTGCGTGTAAAAGTCATTTAAATTGCGCAACTAAATTTTCTCGTTTTAGCCGGAAGTACCAAATGGTGAACAGACCACGACGACCGTTGAAGAAGACGATCCCACACCTCAAGATGACGTCACTGCCAATGAGCATGGTTTGAATTTTTTGGGAGAGTCTGAAGTCAGTTCCAAATCCCGTATCCACGCCGATGCGCCTCCTTTTGTTCCGTCTCAAGCTCATGTCCCTCAACAACCGCAGACGACCACATTTGATCCCGAGTTTGCTCCAAGCGATTCAAATGCAGGCTGGGACGAACCTTGTAAGTTGTAGAGAAGTTTTTTCAATTCTTTCTATATTTTTTTCTTGAATGACTATTGAATGGTTATTTTTTAAGCTTTCTTATAAAGGACTAATGAAAACTTTGAAAATTTATGTTGGCCTTTCCATGTTTCGAACTTTTGTTTCGTTTAGAAACTGAAAATTTATTTTATTTTTCGAAATTTTCTTCAACTTTTAATGAATGAGTCTCGCGGTATTGCTTTGCTCTCTATGATTACTTCTGTTTATGAACTTCCGTTGTTGAATACAGAGCTGCGTTATTAATTAACTACAACATTGCAAAAAAAATGCTGGAATTTGAAAAATATGCAGACATAATTGTATCGCGTTACGAAGAAGACAATATAAACTATTCTGGTTCGCCAGTTTAACTGCTACAATTGGGCTCGACCCAAGCACAAGCCTTTCTACATCGATCGAGAACGAACTCAAGGAATGTTTTCTTGATGATCAAACGTCAAATACGTTTTTCTTTAATTTAATTCTTGTTATTTCATTTCATGGCCGAACACGCTTTGTTGTCAATTTACCAGAGTGAATAGTAGAATTGCGTAGACGTTGCTGTATTGACAGCTTAATTTGAGGCCATTTTACGTAACGTTCCAGAATATTACTAAGCGCGCAAAGCATTGTCGTGACACTCATTCTTAAAAAAAAACAACAAAGCTGGCCTGGAGTGGAAACCTTTCAATATGATTAAGTACATGTGCAACCATTGGGGATTTCATTTATCTGTACGGTTAAGGCCGAAACACACTAGGAATCGCTTTAGTCGCGCGTCTTTAACTGCCCACGTAGCGCTTTGCGTAGTTACAAAGCTACTAACGTAGCGCTTTGCGTAGTTACAAAGCTACTCACGTAGCGCTTTGCGTAGTTACAAAGCTACCCACGTAGCGCTTTGCGTAGTTACAAAGCTACTCGCGTAGCGCTTTGCGTAGTTACAAAGCTACCCACGTAGTGCTTTGCGTAGTTACAAAGCTACCCACGTAGCGCTTTGCGTAGTTACAAAGCTACCCACGTAGCGCTTTGCGTAGTTACAAAGCTACCCACGTAGCGCTTTGCGTAGTTACAAAGCTACTCGCGTAGCGCTTTGCGTAGTTACAAAGCTACCCACGTAGCGCTTTGCGTAGTTACAAAGCTACCCACGTAGCGCTTTGCGTAGTTACAAAGCTACCCACGTAGCGCTTTGTGTAGTTACAAAGCTACCCACGTAGCGCTTTGTGTAGTTACAAAGCTACCCACGTAGCGCTTTGTGTAGTTACAAAGCTACCCACGTAGCGCTCTGCGTAGTTACAAAGCTACTCGCGTAGTCGCTTTACATTGATTGGTAAATACATTACTTTTAACTTCTTCAACGCTTATCATATTCCTTGTCACAAGCATTATACGGAATTTATAGATGACACTATTCAAAATGAGGGCAAAATAAATTAATTCACACAGGAATCATTCGATTTAAATGACATATCAAATAGGGACAATACGAACTACAAACACAGGTGCATTAACCTGAATGCGTGGAATAAGATGCGTTGCCCACGATCTACGAGCAATGGGCCATGATCTTGTTGGTGTGTTTCTACTGGATTGTTCTCTTTTGTCCACATAGAGTAACAACATATACTTGTATTAGTAGCTGTAAAGTTTACGTGATATTTGTTTCCGCCACAAACAGAAGTCTCCGCCATGTTAACCAGACGTTATAGTCACGATGGTCGCTCACGTGTGTGTTTATGGCGTTCAAGCGACTGATGCGCGCGCATCAATTTGCTCTAGACACACGATTAAAGAGACTGGCTTGTGTGTGTTCAGGCTTAATATTTACTATGTTGCATTTTTTCAATTTTCTTCTTTTTGGTTGCATTGGCTGTTGAGAAGGTCGTTTGATTTTTCTTCTTAAATTGCAATCAGCCAGTGATTATAACAAACTGTGTTATCAACCTGAATAAAATATGTTGAAACCAGGACGGTATATGAGGCTAATTGCACTAAATTTCTCAAACTTTTTTTCGTTGTTCTTGAGTGTACGTAATGTCATACAACCCAAAAGTTTTACAAAGAAAAACTTTCCACAAATTACTTAATATATTTATTGTTTCTTTTAGCTTACGAAACTTCGGAACCGTATCAGTCTCCTGAGGAAAATATACAGCGCAACGATGGATTCCGTGGCGGTCGAGGTCGTGGGGGATTCCGAGGACGTGGCGGTGGACCACGAGGTGGCAATCGTGGTAACTTTGGTGGTGGTAATTATGGTGGAGGATATAGTCGTGGTGGTAACCAAGTAAGTTTTGTTTTTGTTATTGTATTATGTTGATTAATCATATTTATTTAACGAATATTACGTTCTTTTTGACTAATGAAGTATTCCCTTTGAGCATCTTGGGTCGCATCTCGAATGTAGATAACTGTTTTACATAAGTACAGTTATCAAAATGTACTAGTGCAACAACTAGCGCAACAACTTATAGGTCGTTTTTGAATTCAAATCTTAACGCAATGTCAATTTTAACATTAACGTTAGTTTTACAGCAAGAGGTATTGTAATAAACAAGCAAATTTCTGATGAAGGAATTTGAAAGTTTGAAATTGTTGCGTGACATCAAACATAGATTTTACATTTCCATAAAAACGGCAGATGTTTGGCTTTCTTTGCGTTAGATGTAACTATACCATTCGTAATTTTTGTCTTCATCGGTACACTCAGCGTATAGTTTTTGAGCGAGTGTCTACCATCATGACATGCGATCGTAATTGCTAACTGTCAAGAATATTTGTGATTTTAACCTTTGTGCACAAAGTAAATATCTTAACAGAAGTTCCACTCTTGTCGGAACCTTTGATGTTAGTGTCCCCTACTTTTCTGAACCATTTTCTAAGGAGACACGCCTTCCAGCAAGATACTTCCGCTAGATCGCAACAGAAAATATAGATGTTTTTACAGTTTTGTACTGCAAAAGCTTTTTGAACCTTATCTTCTTCGCAAAATGATAACTCTGTTAAAATTTCGGCAAACTTTTGTTTTTAACGTGTAATAGCATTTTCGTGCAATACTATTCCATATTGATTTTATGAAAGTATATTGTTGGGAAGTCACGCATGCGTAGTGAAAAAATACGTCACCGCCTGGGCTTCTGTTACATCTCTAGTATATGCTTTGTGCTTGACGTAGTCCTTTATGAATTAATCATTTTTAAGTAGAAATAGCGAAACGTTTTTTAATATAAAACTTTCCATGTCAGCATAAAATATATGTAAGACTTCCATATGAAAAAAGATGAATGCGCGCTATGCATGATGGTCGACACTAACAATTATCAACGATTCATCAATCGTAACAAAAGAAATAGAGGCATGTTTGTGTGAAAGCCTGTTCAACGCTCACAAACATAAACTTTACACCTTTATTACTACAACAAGTGGTATTTTGTGTTTAACTAGTACATTTTGATAACTGTCTGGTTTAGGTTGCTCTTCAGCCAGTGATTAAAACTGTATTGTCAACCTGAATAGTTCTACTAACTGTTGATACCAGGACGGTATATGAGGCTGAATGTAGTCAGCGTTTTTACTGATAATGAATTTTCTCAAAACATTTTTTATGGATGAATCAATAATTGTATAAAATTTAATCCATTTCTGCTTCTTCGACATGGTATGAGAAGACGTCGAAGCGGCGATACTTTATAGTTTTTCCACGCAGGTTAACTAAATAAAGTATTGTCAACGAATCTATTTTATATCAGTAATACTCGAACATATGTCTGAGGCCGGTTGCACGAAGCATGGATAGCGTTATTCGTTGGATAGGAAATTTTTTAAACGATTAAAAAACTTCAGAAAAACGAAAAATATAAGGTTTGAACTGAGCAATACTGAAATAAATTATGTCTTCTAAGATTACAAAATTTCTTTATCGTAACGAAAATGTTAACAGTTTTCTTGCAAGTTTAAAAGATTTTTCTATGGAACGGATAACGCTATTCAAGCTTCGCGCAACCGGCCCCTGGTGATTCATTGCGATATCCGTTTTGTTTGGATGAATTACCTCAACTTTTTAAACTTAACTTTGATTAGCGTGGTGGTGGTGGTAGTGGTGGATATCGTGGAGGTAACAGGGGTGGTCAACGTGGCAACTACCGGGGTAATAGAGGACAGCGTGGTGGTAACCGTGGAGGATATCAAGCTCGAGATTAACTAAAATCATCTTTTGGTGTATGATTTCTAGTTCAAAATTGTTTGGCCACTTGAAAGTTTTTAATGAAGCTACTGACATTGTGTATGAAGAATGACCGCTAATAGACACTTCAATTGACGATATCGTGTGGAAGTTGATTTCTTCATGGTTGTTTTGTAACATCTCATTTGTTTCTGTAAAATTCTAGTTATGAAGCGTGAAATACCACAAGGGATGTTTGGTTATGTAACTTCGTCTGTTAGAACATTTCCTGTTACTAATTACCATTCACTTGCTTTTTTCCAATTGGTTAAAGTACTTGAATATGGTTAAGTATCTATCTTAGTGCGTTCATGAATAGTTAAATCTCCAATTTTGTAAAATTGTTAGTTTGTGTTATATCATAATCTTAGTTTTGTTGTTCTCCTATCGTGTAAAGTTATTTTGAAAGTACAAAAATTCACATTTGTTGATTTTCACTTATTGCTATTTTAAATGCAAAATGTCAATAAAACTCTGTGATGCATCAAAAAATAGCAACCTTATCAGTCAGGAATTGCCATGGTAACCTTTCCGAGAGACATTCTGTTTCATCAACGATGTAAGTGTTTATCTAAATAACCAAGTAGCGTACAATTGGTTATTTGATATAACCAAACCGGTACCGAACTAAAAATAGTTATTTATTAAATAACCAAATTTTGTCAATTGATTATTTGATATAACCAAACTTATGCTAGTCCAAAATATGGTTATTTGTTAAATAACCATGTTTTGGCAAATTGGTTATTTAACATAACCAACCTATTACGTTTGGTTGATTAATAAATATTGAAATTAATAACGAAACACTTCGCGCCCCATGTTTATCAGTGCGTTAACAATTTTCTGGAAACAAATTTACAAAAACTTGTTTTGGTAATAGACTTAAATATTGCTCTAAGCAGCGTATTTGTCATGCTTAACGACAACTATATGTGTTTCTAAAAAAAAGTGTTGAAAACTAAAATACTGGTATTTTTAAATTTAATAAAACGAAACATCTCAGCAACTTCTCATCAGGCAACATGACAGCTTTCATAAAAAGAAAAAGATCTATTTCTAAATAAAGAGAAAAAAAATATGAAATCAACTCCAAACGAGAGAGTGATGTTTAAAACAGGGATAAGTTGAAGATTTAATACTTATGACGTTAGAACAAGGGATTTAGTTAACTGATTAATACTTGGTGTAGTATTGGCAGATGTGGCAACTCATGACAAACCTGCCCGAAAGAGAAATGACCCATGTGACAAGAGCAGCATGTGCTCAGGAAGCAAAAATTTACATTTCATTCATAAAGATGTCATTGGTTGTCAATATCAGAAACTTTGCTAATTTTAAAATTCTTACTTGCTTTACATAGACATGCTTGAAAGGTAAAGTATCGTAGAAGTTATTTCTCGATCATTCGTATATAAATTATGGGGTAATAATTATACAAGTCTGCTGACTCTGCATTTTAAGCCTGCCATACAATGGTAAACTTGCCGTGCGTACTTCTCACGTACTTGATCACACTTGTCACGAATAACAAGTACGCGCGGCAAGTTCACCAGTGTGCGGCGGGCTTTAAGGGCTTGTCTTTTACACACAAGCGCATTTGCCAACTCCCCTAGTTTGATAGGTAGTTAACTAAAATAAAAATCACCAGATTTTCGATCACTTTCATCAGAAATGTTTCATTCAAACTGTCTTATGTATGTATGGTAAATTGCTTTATGTTTTTTAATTTTTTTGAGAACTTAAATACACCTTTTATATTTACTGCAAACTGTCTAGAAATTTGAGTTCACCAATAATTCATTGTATGCTCACATGAATGCTCACATGAATGTGATATTCAGTCAGAGGATGATCATCTTGTGGTAAATGTATATGACAATATGTCTTCACAATTGCAAAACACTTCTGATGTAAACTGGGTTGACGAAATGACAATAGAACAATGTTGTAAACCATATAAAACATTTCAGATTGAATATGTTGAAAGAGAGGAGAATTCCGAACCATTTGTGCCATTTAACTTTGGGAATGTGGTATGTACATTTTGTTCTATTATTAAATATTATATTACAGAAGACCGTAATATATTTTCAAATCACATAAACAAAGGAGAAATGTCATCATTTTAGCAATTTTTACATGTACATGTTCTAAATGTGTCTAGGTATAAATAGTTGTTTCTGTACTTGTAATTACAGCGAAAATATTTTCTTTTATATAAACGTATAACCTCCAACAGAATTCAGTTAATATATATTTAGTGTGTCCTATTTATATTTCGATAAATCACTGAACTTTCTTGTCATGTTTGACTTTATATCTTAAATGTAAGTATAATAATCGAAGTCTGAAATCGGAATTTTTCATGAAGTATTGAGAAATATACAAGTAACAATGCAACTTTAAATATATGGATACGCTTATTGCAACACAAATGCGTTATTGCGCAGCGAATCAATAAATGCATCCGTAGTATATATTAAACATGTTAAAAAGAGAAAATGTCACTGATTACTCGAAGAAAGTCTGCAATTCTTACCAGCCAATTGGTGACAATTCGCAATTAACTGGGGATATGATTCCATTTCTCAAACATAATTGTAATAAAAATTATCACGAGTTTACGATGCTGTCATATTTTTAATGCACGAGTTCGTACTATAACAAAATATATTAAGGGAGAAACACGATGAAAATTGATTCCGATAGTATACGCTCTGTTTCTCTGTAATATTGAAGTTAAATATAAACTAAAGTAAACATGATCTTTAAATATAATGAAATCACGCATAAAAAGGAATTTTATAGTATTCATGTGTATGATATTGTGCAATTAAAGAATGCGCATTTTGAAGCAAGAGGGTGAATAGTTGGTTTTACATGAGTGAGATTGAAGAAGGTGTCGGTAGATATGAGAGTTTTTGTCTGTTGCGGTATGTTCCCTGATTCTGGTGGATAAATGGCGCGAAGTTTTGCCAATGTATGGGGAATTACATCCCGCGCAATTGAATTCATATATCATCGACACTGCCGACATCTCATTCTCCCTTAAAATCAAAGAAGCACTCCACATTAACAAAACTAACCCTGACCTCAATGTTCAAGTTTTTAAAGTTAATACAATATTTAGTTTATAATACGCTCGGACGCTCCCCATTAATTTCCTTTTTATTGTTGTAATTTATGTATCATATTACCTTTATATAAACCTTGTATCATTTATTATTTCACTCATACTGAAGATGGCATCATGAGCTGTCGAAACATGTTAATTCAAAAAAAACTTGTCCTTTATATTAAATGCGCATTAGCAATAGTGCTTTTACGAAATTAAAGAATGATAATCATGCAATAAGTAAAAGATGATATATCGCAAAAATAATACAATTTTTTAAAACAAATTAATTTCAAGATGAGAACATGTTAGAAGGTGTTTCGGAAAAACTTTTCCTTTGAAGAACAATACGTACCGATCAATTGTAAAAATTTGTAGTATGATAGACCAAAAATATCTAAGCACCTAACATAAATTTAGTATGTATATTGTGCTCTATGAATATTTTAATAATTAGCGTATTTAAGTTTCGCGCATAAACGGACGACTTAACTGTTCGCAATCAGTTTAATGCAACTATCTAAATCGATAAAGTCGACAAGGCACGTCAAAATGTTGGTTTAACTCTAGAGCTACAGCATGTCAACTTATCAACTGCTGGATTTATCTTGATTCTTGACTATGTTATCATTAAATGTCTTAACTTTTCTACTAGAAAATTGCTAGGATTCTAGCTGGTGTATGGCAACAGAATCATAAGTTCTTTTATTTTAGTTTTGATTTATGAGCATTGTTTACTGATACAATGCATACTTTATTTACAGAAACACCAAGGGTAATAACCTAGGACCTAATACAAACTAGCAGCATTCAGCAAACCTTTACACATATTTAATATCTATATTGTTTTTAATCTGTCAATTGTTGCAGAACTAGTTTGGGATTGATTTCAAAATATTTTTGTATACTATATATACCACAGTGTTGCTGAGTATTGTTGGCAAGTTCGAGTTCAGCAAAACTCTGTTCTTAACTTCCCATAATATTTTCTGAAATATAATATGAACAGACCCTAATCCAATTCATGGGACTAAGCTGCCTAAACTCAATTCATCATAAGAGAATTTTGTTGATTTGTTTGATGCAAGACATGCACATCTCGAAAAGTTTCACACAGTGTAACATGCATTTACGTAAAAATAGAAATGATTGTGCAGAGACCAACATCAACTAAAGCATGACGTAGTGGTAAAAAACTTTAACCAAATAAATGTAATCACAATGCAAGTATAGTAAAAGAAAATAATAAAGATTGAAGACTCATAATTTACATGATGAAAACAATTATCTTCCTTACCAACGGTCTCATGAAACTGTTGAAATATTTCCTTCTGTTGCACTTCTTCTGCAACCGTATATCACACATGTTTTCAGCATGTTTTATTGCTGAAATTTTATAGATTTTGCCTTTGGAATATTAAATACTCATATATTATGTACATTTGATGAAAACAAACGCCCTTGTACATATAAATAACCTAAACGCAACATCTGACAAGCCAAAAATGAATGCCAGTTATATATGTTTGGATAAAGAAGTAGGAACCGTATCAGGCAAATCAAATTCTTTTGTAGAAAGAGTGCAAGCCTTATATAGCATGCACATAAAAACACAAAAAGTTGGGAAATTTATTTCGAAATGCCAACTACCAAGACATCCGATTTTAAACACATTTTCCATGAGGTCATTCATATAATTATCATTTATAACTTTAGCAGATCACATGGAAATGTTACGGTAAAAAAAGACTTTCTCATGCCGTTATTAAATTATTTCTTTAAGATAACGGAAAACACGAATCAAAGTGAAATTTCTGGAACTAGTGAAATAACGCCACTTCTGGAAAACGCTCGTGGATTTCAATGGAGAAAATTAACAATTAGAAGAATTATATTTGCACTTCTAACGTTAGTCTTGTTGGAAATGAAATTCTCCTTTTTATGGCAGTATTTATCTCCCGAACACGACATTTTTCCTGTCACAAAGCTCACTCAAGGTAATTGTCATAAGAAATCTTCTATTTATTATAGTAGAACAAACATGAGACGAGACTAAGACTACCAATAGTGGATTTGAAACTTCTATCAAGGAGAATTGTAAAATAAGCAAAATGAAAGGCTTGCACTTTTTCGTCTAAAGCTTTGTTTGCATTACCCTAGTCATCTGAGCTCAATCAATCAAATCATTCAATCAATCAAAGTGAATTTGCAAATTAATCATGAATACACATTGGAAGATTATTAAAACGTTTCAGTTTTTTCGCAATGCTGTTATATTATAAAAGAAACAAAAGATATTTTTTGTGTTTGCTCTGCCTTATGCAAACCTCGGAGACGTTTGGGAGAACTCTCGGGCAGGTGCATTCCTCGACCTTTGATCTCGGACTTGCACTGATATGCTCTCGACTTCTCCCAAAGTTCTCCTCGGCTTGCACAAGCCTGGGCCAACACAATAAACATGTTTTTTCTTAAGTGAAATAACAGAAAAATTGTTTTTGCCATATCATTAAACATGCAGCTACCTCGTATCAGTGAATTGATTTCGAGAAGAAGAATTAAAAATTTTATTTTGCTTTAAGCTTTTTCAAATACAAAAAAAAAGTTGAAAGATCTGTACTCTATACATTGAAATTCTTTGCAGTGCGACATATAAGAAAATTCTCACTGAAACATTTAAAGTTTTACCCAATTTTGTTGGATGAGCTTAAACTTTCTCTTTTGCTCTAATTTTGTCTTGTTCCAAATGTCATTTCAAATTATACCTTCGCGCAGAACTTTCTGTCGTCTTGTAAATCGTTCGACTTTTTTTATTGTTACACACTTTTCTTTATAGAAAAAACTTTACAAGTTTATCCATCTATCTACCTTTCCTGCATGCACCTTTTCTCTATCTTCTACAAGTGGGAATAATTAAAAGAACACAGTTATACATGGTAGCCACCAGTATTACAAAAAGCGTAGACTAATTAAGAAAAAATCTTGTACTGCATACAAGATTGACTTTACTCACATGTTGGAAAGCTGTTGTTGTGAAAAGATGCACCTGCTATATTTTTAGCTTCCTTCAATGCTTGGGAGGATTTATCCTGAGAAAATAAAATCATTATCTAAACATAGTTTTCCTTACTTCTTGCAACACAAGGAAACAGAACTCAAAAGCACAAAGCTGAAAAACAGGAACTCAAAAAAGGAGCTCGAAAGAAGGTGCAACCCCTCGACCATCGGTTTTAGGCTTGCACATATCTGCTCCCGAGTTCTCCGAAAAGTCTTCTTGGTTTGCATAAGCCTGTGGAAGCACAGTGAACATCATTTATTTCTTAATTAAAACATATCACCCTTGCCATAAAGATTGGACTTGTAATGTTGGAGCTGAAGTTTTAAAATATTTAAACACTCACAATATCAAAACATAACTATTTAATTTGACTTTTTTTTAAGTAGGTACATTGGTTATTGGGGCAATATTTGCAAGTCTGGGAAAATACAAATATGGCTGCTATAAATGGATATCTTATGGACTAATTTTTAATCTTATTTCGACGTTGATTCATAACGTTCTGTCTTACGCAAATGAATTTGAAAAAGCGCATAAGCACACTTTTTTTTCATCTTGGTCCAAGTTTTACCAGTCAACTTTTGGAATTGTTCTTTTGGGAAGTGGAATAACACTTGACATGTGTACTTACTATATGGTGTATATCACTCTTTGGATATTTATTTCTCAACAAATATCACAGAAAGAGAAAATATCAAGGCAGATAATTTGCTTCATAGCGATTTGCTTTGGAAGGGCTGCTTATGGATTATCTGGTGTAATTTGTAATTTCGTTAAAACGATTAAGACGACGATCTATTCTCAAACATTATTAGCCTTGCTAATCATAGTAGTTTTTCTTTGTGGAAAAAGCCATTTTATCATTCAACCACCATATATTGGGACTATTTCAGCAAATTTCAAAATGTTAAAGGAAATTATTAAAACACGCCAACGTCGCCTGCCAAGTTCCAGATGCCATTGGTTAGATCGGGCAAAATTTTTATATGGTGGATCATTCAGCACATGGGAAGTTGAAGATTTAAAACGGCTTTTTATACTGCTCCCAGTTGTTGCAGTTATGGCAGGACAGTTTATCTTTTATTCTTGGGTAAGTTGTGTGTCATATGAATTTAACGTTTTTGTTTGCATATTTATAGTATATTTTTACCATATAATTTCTTTCATATGTCAAGTTAATTTTCTTAAGTTCTACAAACTGCAACATGCATAATTCGTTTTGCAGGAATGCGTCAACAATACCGAAAAGCAAATAGCAATCGAAAATGTTTTTGTGGGTTCATAGTTTGTGCGTAAAAACAACACATTTTGGTAAAGTTTTATAAAAAAAAAACAAACTGTAAAATGAGCAATACTTGAATGTTTTGCAAAATGTTAAGGCTCATTAGCATGCCTAGAAAAATAAAATTTGCTTTACAATAATGCTGTAATTTAAAAATTTTTTCTTTTGAAGATTAAACAAAGATTCTCAGAGTTAAAATGTTCAATTAAGACAGCTTAATATTATTACTGACTGTTAAGCATTTCACTAGGCTATTATCTTCTGTAAGTCCGTTCAAGCTGTGCTATGTAGAAGTTAGAAGATGTATTGTATTTATAATTACACGAGAGGACAAGTATACATAATCCAAAATTCATGTCTGAAGATGTTAAAATTGGCTCATGTGTCATGCTTTGTAATTACTGGCTATGATAAATAGCTTTTTATACAATCAAAACTAGTAAAATGTAAATCGGAAATAGTTTAGTTTTTAAACTATAATGATCACAAAAAAAGTTAGCCAGTGATCAGGAAAAGTATTTGGCAGTTTTGACAATTTCAAGGCTTATCAGCATGTATAGGAACACATTTTTAGTTTGTAGAAAATGTTCTTCTTAAATGGGTAGCCTTTCAGAAATTAGGGAAAACAATTTTGTTTAAGCCGTAGATCAACACACCTTGACATCTCTGCAAGGTAATCCTTCATTTGTAAAGTAATGTATTTGAAGTTGATGTACCCAGTATACCAGATTGTGCAAGCATAAAATTGTAGTGCATTTACACGTTTATGGCCATTGTACACATCTCTTTGCATTTTTATGGAAGATAAATTGCTCGATATTCACCATCAAGAAACCCCAAACAATTGCTAAGGGCACCTTGTTTTATGTAAATTGACTTAGCATACTCCTTATGATTTTGAGGACTGAAAGTAAAGTCATTCCACTGACAGAGTTGGTGGCAATGATGATAAAAAAACATAATCAAATACAATGTTTGTTATCATGCTCAATTCTGTTACAGCTCAGCCAAATGATGGTATGATGTCTGTGTATCTGCATGGATAAGAAATACATTTCAAAACAGTGCATAATCCTTCGATACTATCTGCCTTAGACCCTTGAGGGCATTGGTAACTCTGCAGTATTCCAAGTGCTTCAGGAAGCTCGGATGTGTCCTCTTTATCGAAGCACAATTCTACTTCCCGCTCAGTGATGTCAATTGTTTTCGAAGTAAATCTTCCATATATCTTATAAGGAAACTCTTTGTATCCTTATAAGATATATGGAGACAGTTTGTTCATACATAGAAATTGTAAAAAAAAAGTTCACAGCAGAAAATGCTATCAATATGTTATTAAATTGGTGTGAAATCATATTTCTTGCAAATTAAACGATGTAGCCAACGCTTGCCTCGAAAGCCAAGTCACGTGTCATGTATTATATAAAAGAGCATATTATTACTTGTTGTGGGTAGTGTAACACTTTCTATCTTTGGCAAATATAAGTTGCTAGACAACAAAAAAACAGGTGTTGCTATAGATTACGAGTTTTATTAAATATATAGTCAGTAAAAGTTTTTCGAACAAGCAAATTCTCATTGCTTGATAATTTGCAAATTAGCAAATTTTGTTTTTAATATATATTGAATTATGCTTGTCAATCTATTTTGTGGTCATATATTTTGTGATTATTAGCTTGTAGCTAAAGGATATCTCATGTACGCGTTTCATAGTTTTACAACTGCTGTCTTGGCTGTCTCAGAAATGTATTTCAATACTTTAAAATAAAATAATTTGCAATTAATTGAAATGAAAATTCGCCTTAGACTGATTACATTGCTAAAGATGAAATATGTTCGCCTTAGACTAATAAAAAGGCGAACATTTTCCATCTTTAGCAATGTATCAGTATTCCTAACTGCGCAAGCGCATTGTCTACCAATGTAATCGTAATGTTAGCGCATGCTTGTTTTAACTGTTTTAATATAATTCAGATATCCTCTTTGAATCGTAATCCTTTTCTTGAAAAGTAATTATGATCTGAAAGCTCTTCGCTGCAAACAAACTTCTGTAATAGATCGGCAACATAATCTTGACGAGGCCTTAACATCCTCAATTTCTGGTTTCAATCACATCAATTACCGCTTGCAAGGTTCACCGTTTTGAGAATAAAATTGCAAATATTTAGGAAAGTCTGGTTTAAGGGAATTAAAAGTTAAAAATTATTTGGGTTGCAAAAATTTTAGATAGCCAAGTTGTTAGAGCTCTTTTGTAATTTAGATAATTTATAAGTTTACAATACGATCGAACTTTTGGTGCTCATACAATGAATATTTTTTCCTTCACTGCATTACATCGCTGCAATTTTCTCTTAACGCTAATGGAAAAAAATTTCACATGTTTCATAAAACTATAACTATACTTTCAAGTTTCTTTAAATATTTTTTTATTAAGTTAGTAATTTGCTGCTTCCTAATTACGACTTCTTGTTGTTTCAGTAAAATACTTTTTTTAATTTAGATTGAATTTCTAACAATTCACCAGTCAAATCATCTCAAGAGAAACTTCAATCTGAATTTTTACTTGGTGGAAAGCATTGCTTTGCTGACAGCTGTGACAATACTTGCTGTTGCGTACTGGTGGTTTAAACCCTGTGATATTTTAAAATTGTTTTGTCTTGGATCATTGTCTTTATTGATTGCGACAATTTATGGAGGTGTTTTTGAAATGTATCTTGTAAAGGAAGTCGAACACTTTGTTAGTAACAATTCAACCAGCAGTCTAGGCAATTATACGTCGTCATTTTCGCTACTCTATCAAACACCTTGCCAAGTATTCTACTGGTTATGCAATGTTATAATTCATTTCAGTGGTAAGTGTTATAGGCAATAATTTTTATTGATTAGACGATATTTCATTTTTAGACAGAATAATCAAATAAGCGATATTTATTTTTTTGTCAATTATTTCTGAAGAGATAGCTTTTATATTTAAATAGTGTTAGTTTTGTCGCAGCTATATTGGCATGTTTTTACAATACAGCAAAGACTAAACGCAATAAAATCAAAAAGAATGTGAGGTCTTCTTATAAAAAAAGAGCATATAGTGAAGGAGATGATTTATGTATACATATTAATGATTTATTTATTCTTGCCCATGGAATATTAAGACAACAATTCTATTATTTTTCCAACTAGTATTTAATTGAGGTTTTAAAGTGTTTTATTCGTTTCATAGTCTATAGTTACGTAATTTTCTAAACCAATTTAACCTTTGAATTACAATGCAGGAATTTTAACCAATAAATGAGTAAGCAAACTATCTTGTACCTTTATGCATCAATTGGTTAACTATACTCAATCATTACCTCTTTTTTACAGCGTTTTCTTTGATAATTGAAGAAGCACCCCCTTGTTTTCATGGCTTGCTTCTGATCCTCTTTTATGTTGTCGGAGGAATTTGCTTTTATCTCCTACAAATCTATATTGTGATAATAGATTCGTACGTACATGTTCTTAAGATCGACATGGAAATTTGTAGTAATGGTGAGATAAAATACAAGAGAAATTTGCAAACATATTTCTTAATTCCAACCCCAGCTTTCATATTTGTGCATCTACTAATTTACGTTTACGTCACAAAGCGTTATAAAGAAAAGAGGGAAGAACAAAGACAACTTGCTCTAGCTGAAGCTGAAGGGGATGGTGAGGATGCTTCAAGTAGTTCAATTGATTGGGATGCTACCTCTTGGAATGATCATGATCCAACATTGCGAATTAGCACAGCTTATTAAACGTAGTTTAAAAGACATTGATGTAAGGAAAAAAGGCGATAAGAAACTAAGAGTTTATGTTTTTCTATGGGAACAAATAATTGAAACAACTAATGGGAGATTATTTTTAATATGATCTTAACTAGTGTATTCTATATAAAATTCTTGAGCGTTCAGTGTACGTATATTTCACAAAGTTTGTCTCATAATTGAATTAAACACAGTGCAATATACTTTAATTATTTTTGAATATATCTATAAAGACCTTTAATTTTCCAATTTGTAATTTAGTAATGTAATTTAAACATTTTTAAAAATGCTTCGAATTGTGTTGGATGATTGTTTTTTTAAAGCTTTTTTCCTACTTGTGAGATTTTTCGAAGTTCGTTTAAAAAAAACTAAAAAAGTGGTAGCTAAATTATTTTAAAAACATTTTTTGTTTGAATTAGTATATTCCATTATTTGTTGTTATTAATGCTGAAAAGGTTTTTACTAGAGAGAACTTCTCCATAGTAATCTCTAATTACAGAGCAATGTACATTTACAGAAGTGCCTGTATAATGCCTTGTTGATGCACTAAGTGTTATACTAAGCTCTTAATAACCAAGCACAAGGTCTTTACGGCAAAAACGTTGGACCGAGGTGTTTTTCTACAGGTTTTTTTTGTACAGACCGAGCCCTTAGGATGAGATTAGTACAAATAGACGGAGGTCTAATATTTCTTAGTAAATACCGACAAAGAGTGGTTATTAAAAGAATTATTATACGTCTGGCATTAATTGACCTTGCCATTTTGGCTAGTGGCTTCTACTTTTCGTTAGTACAAAATAAATCGTTTTATATTTTATCGTCAGGAGAGTTAAACAGTTTTTGGAGTGTTTTTCCTTTGAATTGCATTCGTAAATGCCATTCTTGTTTTTTTTCTGTCTGTTTTGCTTTACGAAGTTTGTTTACATTTGACTGAAAATTCAGACGTTTTGCACCGTAGTCCATTATGGAAAGTAATGGACCAGCATAAATGCTTCTTATACAATCAAAGTGCGCCATTGTGCTGGGAAAGACGATTGCCACATAATGAAATAATTTAATTTTCTCGCCTTTAAAACGTTTTATTTTAACTGTTTCTTGCAATACCTTGTTTCTATGAAATTTCCGTTACCCTTCATATAGTCCATTAAGGATATTACACATATATTTGCTGTATTTCCTTGGAATAGTTATGTCACCTAAATATGAATTACAAAACTGATCCTCTTTTCTTGCAAAATGATGAATGTTTGAAATGAGAATTGAACGGTTAGATAACTATCCCAAATTAAATGGAACGAGGATTTTGTTTAGTAGCTCTACCTTTACATGCGAAGCGAATCTATTTGATTTTCAGCAATTTGATTTACTGCCTCAGTTGACAGCTTTTTATGATATACTTTGACCAAAAGCTTTGCACGCAATGTATTTTTTTGCAAAGTCAAATGTTAATTTTTAAAATGGATTTAAAAGGAATGTAAATTGCTTATCGACTAAGCAAAGTGTATTCAGAAGAAAGCTATCAAAGCAGGAGTATAAATTTTATTATTGAGACAAGGCAAAGTTTGTAGATAACAGAATTTTACTTTTAACATTTTTTTGCAATATGTTTTCTTTTATGAAGTGAAACATAAATTTTCCAATTTACTTTAAAAGCCATATAAATTGTTCAACGAGAAAGGAAAGTGTATTTAGAAGAGTTCTCAAAGCAAGAGTGGGTTTTCAACAACACCAAGAGAATTTTCAGCATCAAAAACCTTCTGAGCAATTGTTTTTATCAGCGAGTTTAATTTTTTATGCCAATAGCAGATTTTGAAAACCGACACTTCTATCACGCAACTTATTCCAATTGACTTTCATCAGGAAGAAGACAGTAATGAAAGAGTAGAGAGCGATAAGAACGGTCTAGAAGAACAAGTGCTTCGTCCAACTGATCGAACACAACGCAGCGCGGGAATAACCGAACAGTTGCGAAGATTGCAGAATACAAACAAGTTCTAAACATCCGTACATTCTTAGCTAAAAATAGTTTTGTTTTTTTTTGTTTTGTTTGTTGACAACATTTCGTTATGTCAACCTTGGGGAGTGCAAGGAAGAAAAAAAGCATGTCGATATTGCATAGTCGGTACGGATGTAAAACATTGTGTAATAAAGAAAAACATGTCAGACATACGTTAGTAAAATATACATATCGAAGGCCAAGACATCTTGTTTATTCCGTTAAAAAAGATTTGTGACTGTATTTTTCAAACGATCATAAAAGCTTACTTTCTTAAAATATTTTAAATACATTACTTTTTCAACAATTCCACATGTGTTATTTATGTTGTGAAATGTCAAAAACTAATCTTTAAAAGTAAAGGCGTGGCACATTGGAATTAATCGCAAAGTATTTAATTATTTTTCTTCTCTATCATATTGACACGTGTTATGTTTTATTGTTGTTGACGAAAACCAGCTAAAAATGATTTGTATGTATTTCACACAAAATGTGCATCCTAACAGTAGCTATAATTCTTGTCTTGTCTTCATCAACAGAATCAGGTTGAACTTTTTCTTACTGTCAGCATGAGCCATATATTGTTTAGCAAAAGTTTCTAAACCCAATAGTGCAATAGATCTTCTTATTTGTCAAACTTCACTCACAAAGCAAACTGCCCTTAGCACATTGAAGCCAGGTTCGTTGGGCTGTGACAATTTTCGGCAAAATTTCATCAATCGTTACATTCATCATACACATTTTATCTCTCGCCAATCTTGACATAGCTGAACAACAGTAAGTTTGCGAACCGTTTTCGCGAATGTATTTAATGATTACAATAGACGATCCTTTTCTTTCCCGGTCAAAAGAAGTACCAATACCAGAGTGTAAATTTTCCCTTAAAACACGATCGTTTTCGAGAGAATAGTGCGTTACGGCTTAAATCTCGTCAATGATCGTTCGCATTCGCAAGTCGCCACTTTACTTAGCATACTTTCTGATTACAAAATCTCCGTTTCTTTGTCCTATTTCCTTATGATGTTGTGCATTTAAAAAAAGGAAAGGTTCTTTTGCTCAGACCCTGTCGTTTGAATGGTTTAGAACCATGCAATGGTGCATTAAATTGAGAAAAAAGTTGGTCGACATAATAGTAAATTGTATTACTGCACTACTCTTCATTTCCCCATAATGGCGGACAGTCAAATTTTGTGACGTAGTAGTGACGTAGGTGCCAACACTCTATATAAATATAAACAGTCTGCGATGCAGTCTAGTTAGCTACTCGTGAAGTAATTTTTCTCTTACTAACTTCAGTTTTTCAAATTAAATAAAGAGTCATCAACGCATTTTTTTTTGCGAAAATTAATGTATCTTGTGATTAACACGATTTTATCACCAGACTTTTTTATCACCTGACATTTCACAAGTCAAAGTTCTCAAAAACTATTCACGAGCAATTTATCATTCTCATGAGAATGCAACGCTTCTACTGTGTACATCTATTGAACAAGTCGACTGTTTGAGGTAAGCAACTAGCTGTTTGATATGTTTTCGATAGTCTACATCGAATTTTGTCCTAAAAAAGGAACCATCGCTGTACGCTCGCTATGCGCTACGATTTTTTTCTCATAGAAGTTATCGTGATTCAAATGTATCTAAAGTTGCTGCTGTTGTCAATAAACAACTTTAATGTTTTTTTGCAGGCGATATGCAAATGTTAAAATCAAGCGATAAGAGTATACCAAACTTAAATGCGTGATAAGTCAATTGCGATAATATGTCAGCAAGGAACAAATTAAATCAATACATTTTCAAAGTTTGTGTACAACGGGCTGACTCTTGAAATTTTTAGAATTTTACTTATCATTCGTGTTTGTTCTTTACATTTTGTATAAATGGTTCAAACTAATCATAGAATGGGAAAATATCATTTTAAAATTTCTGTCCGACTGTGTATCTTGTGACAAGCACAATCGGTGATTGTTATTGCATGGTATAATGTAATTCTCTTCATATTTTTCAATAAATACCTTAATGTACTTCTCATGAATGTCAGTTAAGCAATAAGTATCCACGAGCAAGTAACTCATTAAGTCATTTTATCCAAAATGTAAAATTTCTTTTAGTGTAATTAATTTTATTTTTAATCATGCTTTCTTTTTAATGCAAAGATTTTTGTCGTTAGGATAAAGATGTATTTTTATTAGCTAGATTAGCTAAATAACCTCTGTACGTGGGCATTTCTATGTTTTACCGTACTGTTAGTGATATAATTAAAGATTTTTCCAAGGAAAATATACATGCCATAACTTAAAGTAAATCTTATCCCTCTTATGCACTTTGATGTTTAATATTAGATTTTTCCAAAGCAGCTTTAGAATGCTGCATCAATTTCAGTATTTCAATCGACATTATTCACCTTTTTGTTTTATAAGATCAAAATGAAATTTTTGGCACATGTCATGATGGTGCTGGCTTTTGCTCATTGCTCAAACACGTCACCAGTCGATATTTAGCAAGATGTTGAAAAACCAGGTATATTTTTCCAAGAAGGGAATGAGGAAATAGATACATAGCAAGGACAATAGTTGGGTGGGGACATATTCGTATAATCGAGACATGCCGTATTAGTTTTATTTAAATCAATTGTTTTTACGGATCATAAAATGAATATGAACCCCACCCCCAATTATCATTTTGGCTAAGTACTTGTAAGAAATGAAGTTATAATCCAAGTTGTCTTTAAAGCTTGTTGATGCTTGTTTATTGACTGAATTTTTGGACTGTTCATCGTAACTTTGTGATATATGACTTTATATCAGGAGTGTGTGTAAGTTTAACGTGAAAATTTAACTTGAATTCCAAACTAATTTTGTAAAGACGAAAAAATATGTCTTAAATAAAAGTTAGACATGCTTCGCAAACTGGTAAAAGAGAATGAAATTCTAGTGTTTGTTGCATTGTTAAACACAAATTAAAATTATCACGATTATTTTGCTGACTTCTAACGATTTAGAGGAGAACACTATTATTTGCACGTTCTTAGTGATAATGAAAATACCACTTAAAGTTTGATACTTTTGGATATTGTAGTTTTTTGTTATTTATTGATGCATGAAGACGAAACAGTTAGCTATAATGGAATAAACTTTACCAAAATTTGCAGTTTGATTCGCAATGCGTAGAACACCGCCTAATTTTAGGAGGTTATTGCAGTGCATGTCACATTCATAAAAGATATAAACAAGTTAAAAAGATAATCATTTTATTTTTGCGAGATCGAGGCAAGACATGTTCAAATCTAAAGGATACAAGTTATATCTGTTTTTTTTTAGTTAAAACATTCATTGCTTGCATTTGCTCAAATGGTCTTGATCATGGAGTTCAACGCTATGGACACTGTTTACATCATGAGAGAATCTGTGCACGACTGCTGGCTTTTGGTCTTTGCTGTCTTAAATACTGATTGTTTTACTACAAAAATTTCTGCACTGAATTGAACTAAAAATGAAAATGTTATTTGATCATTTTATGCTTAATAAATCATATAATAATATTTCTTGTGTATTCTTCAATTATTTTTTGACTGTTTGGGTTTGCTTTTAAAACGTCAGTGACACTTAGCTGATACAGCATGTATGGGCATGTCGAAAAACTCAGAGGTGTACAATTGAGACCTGTGGCGAATCCAGTGTACGCCATTATAAATTAGAGCTCCTCAATTTTAAATTCAAACGGCAAAAGGAAAAACACTATATTAGTTTTTTGTTATAAAGAATAAAATTGTACCAATGGATGTACCAAGGGGCTTAGGAATGTAGATATATGCCAAAATGTGCTTTAGTAGTCAATTTGACGAGCTCTACACCCCTCACTACAAATAAGTGTTCATTTTAATAGTTTCATGACAATATTTATTCTTTTCTTTTATTTTTTCAAAATCTAAGATGCACTGCCGTAGGTTTGATAGCTAATGATTATAATGACTTCATTTCTTTGTTCATCAAAATATAAAGTCATTTGGTCATTATTATGCAGACCCATGCATCTCAAATAGCAATAGCATGAATATTGTCAGGTAAAAAACGCCCCTCAAAACTTTATCTTTTATTACCTTCCATTCTTAGAAAACTGATTAACTAATGTACAACATATCTTGAGTATAAAAGCCCTTACAAGTTCATTTGTATTTATTGGTTGCAAGTGTGTATGTTGTCCATTTTAATAGAAGTCAACTTTATCGTTGCGGACTTCATGTAAGTGCATATAACAAGTAATGACAAAAATACTTCTGGTTTATGATTTTGCTAAATCATACCCATGAGACTTTCGCCTAAAATCAAATTAAGTTACGCATAAGATACTTATGACAAAGTTTAGGCTACCTTACATAAGACGTATAAAAAACTCGTGATCCAAAAACAGGAGGCAGCCACACGAAGCAAACATATTAAGGGATATGAGAAATGCAATTTATAAATCAATGTAATTCATTAATTTGTTATCTTTTTATTTTCATACTATAAATGAACGACCTAATACATGTAAAGCAGAGGTAAAAGTTGTGGTAGACTCTGTTGCGTTCTGCTAGTCCATGCATGATGCTCGAATTTTAATATATATAGCATACAATCTAATTCTTATAGCATACAATCTTCATTTATGAACTCCGTTATCGGTTGAACCAGTCGAGCCACACCGCTTATCAGTCAGCCAGTTAATACAATTCCATATATGTTAAAATCTACTGATCTGTTTACTGTGGTGGTGTTTATATAAGTTTTCTTGTATAAAACAGAATTTTGACGATGAAATCCAAACGATGATATACCGAAATTATATATGAAATTTGATAAATAATTTTTGAACTTTAAACATCAGTCGAGTGACTGATTTGACCTACCCTAGATCTGCCCCAGTGTCCACTGTAGACAGACGATGAATATTGCACTACTTAGTATTAAAGATAATTTGACTTTACAAAAAAGTTATAGGAATTAAGAGTAACATGTTTGGTCCTGACTGCGTTGATATTGCATATACGTACAACAATTTAGGAATGGCTTACCATAACATGGGGAATTATCAGATGGCAAAAGGTTAGTACAAACGAGCTTTAGATATTGAGTGTAAAGAACTTGCTGCTGATCATCAATATTTTGCAACATCGTGAAACCTTCTTGGTTGTGTTTATTGCGAAATGGGAGATTATAAGAAAGCCAAAGACTTTTACGAACGTGCTTTACTAATTGAAACGAAACTATTTGGTCGTAATGACGTCAATATTGCGACAACGCACAGTAACCTCTGTTGTGCTTACAAAAAAAAATGGGAAATAACGAAAAAGCAAAAGTTCTTTTAGAGAATGTTTTAAAAAATGAAATTAAAGTCTTTGGACATGATCATGTCAAATCAGAATCAGTTCAAGATGATGTACTATAATCCAGAGCCATCGTCAGAGAAACATTACAGTATTAAGAATCTTTAGGATTCATAATATTTTGTTATACTGCAATGCTCTAATAAATATGATGTGGGACTTTTGAATTCCTATAGTCGAACAAAATGTACTGTAAAGGAACGAAATTCATGGTTCTTCTTTATATTGGTTGCTCTAAAGAAAAATTCAAGATTACAAGACGCAGAAGAAAATCTAATGTTTAAATTCTTCAAGCATTCATACGAAACCTTTCATCGTTAAAACGGGAAAATGTGGAAAATAAGTTGTGATTGAAGCCTTAAAAACTGGAAAAATACTTCGGAGCGGACGAAAACAATTAAAACATAGCTACGTATGGCTACGTGCAAAACGAGAATTTTTAAAGAAAAATTAACGAGAAGCTGAAGCAAAGAAGAGAAAACTCTCAACTAATAAATCACAAGAGTAGCATGAGATGATATACGTATAATATAATTGATTATGAAAGCATGGTTGATAAACCTTACTGCATGACACGTAACTTTAATATAAAGTGATTAAATGATTGTTTCAAATGGTTTAAATCTATTGACTTGACAACTGCATAATATTTTACATTATTTGATGATATATTTATTGCTCGATTGATGACATGTACAAACAATGAAAGATTGCACTATCTCGTGGATCGAATGACGTCAAAAGTCTGTCACATTGCTAACATATGGAGTATCTTCTGACTAGTTTAATACAGAAAAGCCATTCTTTGATGACATTGTCATTTTTTAAGTCGTCATTTAAGTAATAACAAAGTCATACTCTTATTAATATCTGTCTAAAGCATGCTTCATTTAAAGTTGTGTAATACATTTCATTTAAAATAATCTAATATTTTCACTTAATAAATAATAAATGTATGTCTTAATCCTTTAAAAAATTGTATGTCAAAGGAACTTAATACGGCATATCATGCATATATGAATACTATCCCCACAAAATTATCACGCCATGTACTCTAAATATGTATATGAAAAGTTACCATTCCAGTCTAAGGTTTTCTGCGTGAAACATTATTCCATCGATTGTGTATTTATCATGTCATTGATTGATTCTCAGATTTAAGAGAATTGAAGTCTTTGGAATGCCCCAATAAATAAGTAATTTTGCTCAATAATTATACTTTCTATTCCATTCCTTAATAACTTCTAATTGATTAATTCCTTTTTGTTCCCAGGGACTTAATATAGTAAATGACTGTTTAGAAATAAAATTTTGTTAAATTGAATGCAACAAAAAACTTTGGATGTGTTGCGTCTATTTTTATACATATGATTTATCTATATAAACGTGAGCTCAACGCAGTTTGTTAGGTGTCATGCGTAGATTTCACGTGTATAAAAAGATTAATGTAAAATGACTTTTTTTATGAGACATAAAAATATCTGTCTAAGAATGTATAGAATGTATATTATATAAATGATGTCATTACTCATTAGGGATATTTTACGTACATATCCCATGGTGTACAGGTGAAAGTGTTGATGGTGTAGAGGGGAGTGGCGACCCTGGATGGAGCTTAGAATATGAAATCAGTCATGGTTAATAAAAATGAAGTTTCTATAATGCATGTTGTTCTGTTTAGTTACACAACATATGAACAGACACAATCTTGTCGTAAAGTATAAACAGCTTACATCCGTAGTCGTGCTATATACTTTATAAATGTATTGTTCTTGACAGAAATAAACAACGAAATATTTAAATAAATTAAAACAACTAAATACGCTGGTAGCCATGCCATTGGTATCTTAAATGTTTAATTTTTGTATGTAAAAATTCCCAGAGTGACCTCAATTTGGTGGTCGATTGTTGGGGATCTCTTAAAATTATCTCCAAAAAATTTGAAAATTTAAACATAATCTTCAATCAATTTACATTTCTTGAACTTAAATTAACTTTTTATTTGCTTCTGTAGGAAGTATAAACATTAAAGTCTATAAAATCCTAAACAGCAATTTGACAGTTTAACACAAGAGCGGCAAGCTCTCTTTTCATGTGAGTCTGAGTTGGTTTCTCTACTGCGTTTGTTATTCATTTCTGTGTCTTAAACTTGTGTAGTTTAGGGTCCATTTCCATTTCCCAGAAGGGGCCCTTGCATGTCGCATGCACGAGCCTGATCGTGAACAATCGAATCCTAGTTGATTTTAACATAAATTGTGAATAATTTAGCATTTGACAGATATCATTTTGCAGTTGATTTACTTGCCGTTGTTTGTGGCTTCGAATATTGTTACAAAATTTTCTTATATTCCTAAGGCGAGCGGCTATTGCATTCTAAAACGAAGAGGATATTAATTAAGAGTGTAGAGGTGCAGTGTTTTTTGTATAATTTTATTTGACAGTGCAATGTCACATGTGAAAATCGATGTGAATAATATAGAGCTGGAAAAACAATTTACTTAATTATCCGGTTCAACAATCCTACAACTGACAAAACCATTGTTTGCTAAATTGTATTTATTCGCAGTTAATTAATGTCAGGAAGAAAGTGATGTTCACTCGACGTTCACGAGTTAGTCACGTGAGGAAATCAGCACTTTACATCAGCCACTCTAGCAGATTTCATCATTATACAAAGCACTGTAGTTGTCTCAACTTAGCTTAAGCTGATCTACCAAATGGCAAAATTACGCTGTAAATGTTTAAATATTTGTATACATGCACAAGGAAGCGATCTAAAGGAGTTAAATGGCGAATCGTTCTTGAATGGCAATGATAAAGATGACTTTTTCAATGGCAAAATCTACGAAGTACAATTGGCACTTGGTGGCATACGAAAGGTGTCAAATTGACATTTTATATATGTTTATTGTCTTTGCGTTCGACCTTCGTACTTTATTTTGTAAGATTTAGCGCTCTGTGTTTTGATTAAAGCTCGATTTGCGGTTTCTTGATGAACTTTTTGATAAATTTTAATAAATTTGCTCATTACGACATATAGTACAACTTTTTAATAACAATAAACAAAAAGTGCAAGGTCACAGTTGGGCAAAGGTTGAGCATGAAGGTGGTCTGATGTTTAGCAACCCCACACCCATTGTTTGTACAACATACTGCAGAGAATTTCCACATTTATCAGTCAATAACTCAATGATCAGTTGCTTTATCACATCACAGGTTTCAATGACGAATTCAATAGATTTGTACATATTGTTGATTTTATCTTTATTGTTTAATGTGTCGTCAATTTATGTATGAACCAGTTTTGTACAAATTAATAATTGTACAAATAATGTGCAAATCAATGATGTACATATAATAAACCATCTACTTATCAATGTACAAACCATGTACAAACCAGTCAATGTAAATGCTAGCATTGACTGTCCCATGAAATACACATGCATAACTCAGATGACATGCCACACATTGGCTACTTTATGTGTAAAGAAGTCGAATAGTCTTGATTAAACAGACTTCAAAATTTAGAGGTTGCATTGCTAGTGTATTTACGTATAAACATTTTTTAATATCTTGTGTGTCATCTATAGTTGAACATTTATCTTTGTCCATAAAGTGGTTGTTTCTTGTTTAGGAATTTAAAATACCCGAAAAATGACTTGAGTGATATATTGCTTTGACACTGATTAACTAAACACGTTGTACGATTGAGTAAATTTTTTTGATTTTTTAACTTTAGGAAGTGGATATACTATTGAAAGAAAGGAAAGTAGAGGATTGGATTGTGTATAAATGTATTGGTTGCATGTCACAAACATATGCTCTCCATTCTGTCAAGATGGAGGAACGGGTTCTAGTTAGTCCATCTTTACAGGTATTACATTACTGTCAATAAATTTGTAGTTTACTCTGTTTTTCTTAGAGGATCAATTATACTGCTAATGTTGTATTGCTTTTATCCAATTATCAATCCTGCTTTTCAATTTTGATTCTTTTTTCAATTCATATCAGTTACATCTTTAACTCTATTATTTTGATATTTCATCTTTTCAGTAGGTTAAAAATTATCAGTTTGTTATGATACCATAAATTTTCATTTTAAGATGGATGAAAACTCATATGTGAACTTAACCCAAAGCAAATTATTTTCTCCTGCATTTAAAATAATTCTACCAACTCCAATTGAAGAGCAAGATACTTCAGGTTAGAAAGGCTCATATATGTATAGACCATAGTTTGATTTTCAGAAACAATCTTTATGGTATAGCGTAGTTTGTGTTTGTCTATGAACCCATGATACGTATGTACATCTTGTATATGTGAGCTTTTGCATAATTTAACTGTATTAGATAAAGTTTATTCATTTTGTAATTTTAAAATGCCTAACACAAAGTATGTGATGTTGAATAAAAAGTGATATAAGGAAGGGAAATAGCTTTCCTGCTGATTTCTGCAAGTTTAAAGGCTTAAGGTCTTTTATCTCACTAGAAAAGTAGTCTAGACAACTGTTTACAATACTGCTTATCTTACTGCAGGTATAAAATTTTGCAAAGACGGTGTATACAATACCAACAGATGTGAAAAAAATTTGTCTAAAACATGTCTAATTTATGCAAAAGCTCAAACAATATTTCTTGGGGTTCATATATCCAGTCTTCAAAGTAGGTTGGTCATAACGTGGTTCAACATTCTGTCTTTATTAGGAAATATAGTTTGCATGTATGTAATCTGACATAATCATAGCTTATACATATTTTACTTTTCCTTTGCTTCAATTGGTTTGACAGCATAAACTGACTTTCAATCTTGATTATTTATCATCATATAGTGAGTGGCTTTAGTAGTGAAACTATGACATCAGCAGAAATAAAGGTACATGACCGTTTAAGGAGATATTTGAAAGCAGAAGAGGAAGCCATGTTAGAAAGAATAAAAAAATACAGTGAAGAACAGAAAAAACTTTATTCAGTTGTGCAGTTGCGTGCTCTCAGTGATAAACGAGCTCTACTAAGGTAAATTGATAACGTACTTCTAGTATTTGGTTACTTTTTACTTAATTTCAAGTGATTTTCCAGCTTTGTTGATGTGGACTGGTAACTAGGAATGTTCTTGAAGATCATGTGATAAATGTTTACTATGTATATATGATTCAAAAATAATTTATCTACATTTATGATTTTTAGTGTTCAGTTTAGGTAATTTTGAATACTTTTTTAAGGCTGGATGTTTTCATGTTAGCTGTAGCTTGCAACCATTTGTAATGACTTGTTTGGCCTCTACTAGCAAATTAAGTTGTTTATACAGAGTATTTATTATGATATATTGCAAATGGACTTGACTGATCTTTACAAAGTTAATTTTAAGGTCTTCATCTTTTCAGGGACACAATTCACTAAATTATTGCAGGGGAGTGGCGGACGCTTGATGAAATATTGGAGGGGGGCAACTGGCAAATGAGTCAAATGATAATCTAAAATTTTGCGGGGACTATGAAGCTCAAATATTTAGTCCTAAAAATATGTTAAGTCTTTATAACTGACTATTAATAAACCTTAATAAATGTTTTATTACCATCTTCTTCCGAACTGTTCTAACATAAAAACATGCAAATAAACAAAATATGTGTTAGACTGTAACGAACTAACGATGGGAATCTTACATGTTCGGTAAAACGCAAAATGATTTCTAACCTTACCGTCAAAGCCTTTTACTGAGCAACAAGTTTTTTTTGTTTTGTATTCGGCAAAAACACTTGTCTTGAGGAGTTTTATTTGCTTGTTTATCTTAAAGATTAAGTAGATTGAGGTTGAGGGTTGGATTAGTGATCAATTATGTCATTTGTGTGTGTTACTTGATGTTACTACTCATGAAAATATCACCAATATATCCTTGACATTCCGGAGCTTTCCGAATGCTCACCATATCCGGACAAAGTATTTGATCGTTTGGTAAATTCAAAAGTCTGAGTTGCCCTCTTTAGGTAAATTACGTGCTCATTTCTATATTTAAGATGCAAACCTCTGAATTAAAAACGTTCCTGTGTTTTTTGAAAAAAATTAAGGGATTGACTTTTTTCTCTTTCAAAAGTAATGCTATAGAAAAGGAATTTTGTTATTTTGACGTATGATTGTTGTTGAATATTTATGTTTTATCTAGTTATAACTCATGTCACTCTACAAAATGATTTAAACGAGACTCGACCTAAATATTGTCACATCTTTTTACTTAGTGTTATAAAACAAGCTGTGGAGAGCAAAGTGCAGGAGTGTTTATCAGACGCGATGACTGATTTACAGCTGGAGTGTAATTTACCTGACGAGAGACCTGGGCCCGATGAAGGTAAATACTAAATATTTCATAATGTATTTTTTAGAAAGCTCTATTGCTTTTTTTGACTAAATGAGCTTTGGAAATACTTAACTCTAAGTATTTAAAAAATTTGTAGTTCTTAGCAGCGCAACGAAGAAAGAAAGCGTCTCCGAGGTTTTTATAAGCCAGTGTAAACACGAAAAACATCTTTTGTTTCTTTCATAAAATAGCAATAATTGAAACAGACAATTTCAAAACAATCGCTTCAATTTTCTTTAAAACATATACATGATTCATTTGCATATTCTCATGGATTGGTTGATTCATTTGATTTGTCGAGCTCAGATCGGTCTGCACAGGCTAATGCAAAGTAGCTACAAACCAATCAACGCATGCGTTTCAGTGTTTTTGTTTTACAATTTCGGTTGCTGGCATGCTCTTTGTTAGATAACTGTTTTCTTGCATATAGCAAACACTTTAAAATAGTGGGCTTCTTTCGAAATGAGTTGCGGCTGCTTTAATGGCGGTCTGTAGTTTTGTCAACGATTAGTTTTGAAGTAAAAGGTTTGAACCCGGGAGTATCGTTACATGTTTGTAAATGTAAATCGTCCAGGTTGGTATAGTCCTGAGAAGGACTGTTTTTGTTGTTGTTGACTGGCGTTTCGACAACCTTATGATTAGTTTTGAGCTGTTCATTTCTGCATCGTCTTAGTGCAATGCTTAACTCTTAATCCACGCTATATAAACGTTATTTTTCAATGTGTTTAAAGTTGTATATGTTTGCAATACATAGGTGAAACATACGTAGCTGCATGAACGTTCTGGAGAATGAAGAATAAATGTTGTAACGCTTTTGATTACAACTCTATAACGAGGGTGGTTTCTTTTGTGTCGCGGTTACTTTCGTATTTCTATAGTAGAGCTTAAAAAAGACGGTTACTTTCGAGACTCCACGGTTGCCCACTCCTGATGCTAGTTCAAACTGGAACTTGAAAGTGTGTGAAGTGTGTTATCAAAACAATAATTTTTTTAAATAATTATTGTTCGTATGCTTAGTAATTGTTTTGGTTGTGCATCAAGCCAATATTTTCTTTCACCTAGCTACTCAAAATTATGTATCGTGTGTCCAATGTCTAGGAGTCAGTTTGACGATAGTAAAATTACAGTGTCGTTATCTTTTTTTAGACTTTACTGACAATAAAATTACACCAACACAAAACTTAAGTACATCATGGAGTACACGATTGAAAGAAACAACAACATGTGAAAATCGTGATAATGCTTTGTCTAATGATATCTTTGATCCATTGTTTCAAATTGACGAAGATTATGCTCCGTTTGTCGAATCTGATGAAGAGGAATCTAGTGGTAAGTAATGTTCTCTTTATGTTTTTATAAAGTTGAACTAAGTTTTAATGAAGTAAATGGTTTGAACCCGAGAGTATCGTTACATGTTTGTAAATGTAGATCGTCCAGGTTGGTATAGTCCTGAGAAGGACTGTTTTTGTTGTTGTTGACTGACGTTTTGACAACCTTAGCAGTGAACATCTTCAGTGTCGACTCTGGTAAAATTAGACTCATTCGACTCTGAAGATTACTACCACTAAGGTTGTCGAAACGTCAGTCTACAACAACAAAAACAGTCCTTCTCAGGACTATACTAACACGGACGATCTACATCTACAAACATGTAAGTTTTAATGAATTTGGTTTGTCTTTGTTGCTTAAATTCATTTGTATGAGATGTGTGAGTCGATTATTTCTTCTAAGAACACCAACGTTTGTGTGATAAATATCAATCATGGTACATAGCTATTAATGATAAACACAAACATACGTTGTTATCCATTTTGATCCACATCATTCAGGGTGTTTTTTGTCCATAATTAACACAAACATTGGTTGTTATCCATTATGATCCACATCAATCAGTGTAGTTGTCCATAATGATAAACACAAACATGATTGAGCTGTAATTATACATCAACTATCCATCAATATTACCATCAATATTATCCATCAACTACCCATTTATCCATTATGATGAATACCACAACAAACCAGAGTAATTATCCCTCATGATGAACACGAACGATAATTACTATCACTGATCCGTGGATAACAAACATCAGAATGTTGATCCGTGGATAATAAACATCAGAATGTTGATCCGTGGATAATAAACATCAGAATGTTGATCCGTGGATAGCAAACATCAGAATGTTGATCCGTGGATAGCAAACATCAGAATGTTGATCCGTGGATAACAAACATCAGAATGTTGATCCGTGGATAACAAACATCAGAATTTTGATCCGTGGATAACAAACATCAGAATGTTGATCCGTGGATAACAAACATCAGAATGTTGATCCGTGGATAACAAACATCAGAATGTACTTTTATGTTGGGAAACATAAATCAGTTTAAACATCAATCATAGTTAATGTTATTACGGTTAATAAAAGCCATTCATTACTACTATTTTCATGGATGTTTTATTTAGAAAAATTTACTCTTCGTGTAGATAACAGTTTTACGCAGACTTATATTGAGTGGGGCAAAAGTTCAAGTAAACCCAAATTTTCATCTTCAGTACCAGTAAACGTTCCCATGATGGACAGATCTGGTAGAGGACGAACCTTTGACGACGATGAAAAAGTAAGTGTTGCAAATAGTTTTTTTATTATTCACTATGTAAAGAGTATCGGCTGTGATTGGTCAACTGCCTGCAATTAATATCGATATCTGTAAGTATGACGACATATTTACAAATAATAGTTTCTACAATTATTGACGCCATTAAAAGCCGGTTTTGTAAAAATCAAATAATAGCGATGTTTAAAAACGATAAGCGAGAGCTTTTGAGAAAAAAGGATGCTGAAAACATTAAAAAAGCGACAAAGCTGGTTTTGAACATATCTTAACTTAAAGAACTTGAAAAATATGTTCGCAATGCGTATATGCGAGTAGCCTATCAAGTGCTGGCTATGAAATGAAGTAGATTTAATGAACAGAGATTGCAAATTTAATATTATTTACGTCAAACTTGTTCAAGATTTGAAAAAGTTTTTTAGTTAAGCGACCGATGTATTTGTTTAAGTATTTCGTATTTTTCGATTCTCTAGCATATTATGCATGTCACAAGACCCAGTCACGTGACATCAAGAGAATTGGGTCTTCATTTAGATCTGTCGCGAGGTTTTCATCCACTGAAAAATATTTTTTCTAATTGTGTGTTTCGAAACATTTTTCTGACGAGTTTGTGATGTCGTTCAAACAACAAATAAATTACCACGTGTAAACAAATAAATTACCACGTGTAAACAAATAAATTACCACGTGTAAACAAATAAATTACCACGTGTAAACAAATAAGTTACCACGTGTATGACATGTATTAGCTAGATTACATGTATAGACACTTGTACGTATTGTACTAGCCTTAGTACTTAGGCCCCGTCAACACGAGCCCGGGTTGTTAGCCAACCCGGGTCAACTCGTCTACTAATAAATTCCTAGTAAAGTTCAAGCGATAGCTTAGTCGATTTACCAACCCGAGGCACTGTTCTCAAGATCCGGGTCGACCTGGGTCAGCAAGATGTTATGGGGTTAAATTTAGCTCATTTCTTCATGTAAACCCGAGTTTTCTTGTCTTGGACACTATTTTCAACTCAGCCCGCGCTGAGAATTGCTGACCCGGCTTAAAATTCAGTTCTAGCCCGAGTTCGTGTAAACATAACCACCTATCCCAGCCTGACCCTGGTTATATATCAAAGAGGGCTTTTATATAATTATAGGTATTTATAGACATTAGACACTTGTATTTTTAGCCAACGGGCCGTGTTGTTTACTTTTTTATTTTCGTTATCACCCGATTTAAAATTGAAAATTCCTGCGAATAAAATTTGTATTTCGTACAATATTCAAAAGCAAAATAAATTCATTTGCTTTCTGCATTTGATTAAATTCACCAACAGAGTACTGCATGTCTGTATGAGAGCATTTTATAAGCAGGGCACAGAATACCGAAATGGACTATATACCAAGCACTACCTCGTACTGAGTATATTGATTGCTTATACCGCTTGTTGGGACGGATATGTTTGATATACGTTATCGCATATTTCTCAGTAAAGACATAGAAAGTGAGGTTATTGAAAATGTTTATTATATGGCATTATTTGACCAGAAACACAAGGCTTGCTTTCTTGTCTTTGCAGTTTTGTACGGGTTGGCTTTCACTCTTCTAGTTTTCTTCATTAAAAAATAAGTCGTTTCAAATTGTATGTCTGGATAATTAAACTGTTTTCCAAGTGTTTTTCTTCGACTCACATTCGTAAATGGTTTATTGTTTCGTTTTTCTTGCGTTTTGCTGTTTGCTTTACGAAGTTTGTGTACATTTGACTGTAAAATTCCGTGATTTGGGATAATAATGGACCGCAAATATGTTTCTGAGCCAATCAAAGCGCGTTATTTTGCCGGAAGGGGCGCTTGCCAATAATTAAGTTTAACACACCAAATTCAGTATTTCGTCACAAAAAACTTGCACTTGCTCATTTGACAGAATCAAATAATTAAAATGACTAGTTGTTTAAATTTTCAAAACAAATTGCCATGTTTTTCCGACTGGCAACCAACCGACGAACGCACAAAGCGTTTTTCTACGTCGTCGTTCGTATGTATGACTATTCAAAATGATAGCTAGACTCAGACAGAGCCAGAGACGGACACTTTTTCAACAGAGCATAGTGGTTAGTCGCGCATGCCCAACGGCCACCAACAAAAATCGTTTGACAAAGACAAACTAGCGAAGGTTTGAAAATGTTTTACATTGATCAGTTTTAATAATATTTCAGTTAGTTGAAGTGAATAATAGAACAATTATGGACTTCGCTTTTCGCACAATATCAAAAATTATTCAGACCGAGGTCAGTGTTATCTGCCAAAGCGAAGCTGAACCATAATGCTCATCTTCATCGAATAATTGTGTAATAAATGTCCAACTAATTACAACGACCACACAACTTCACAGGTTTTGTTTTAACGCCAGCCATTGTATTAATAAATTTGCACGCTTGACACTTAAAACTTGAGACCCCTAGGTTTAACCTTGAGCGTTCGCTTTGAGTTATCCATTAAAATTTGAAAATTTGAAAAATTAAATTTGTTTGCGAGAAATTTGAATTAATCGAAGTAAAATACTATAAAATGTAGTTACTATCATAGACCGGGGGGTGTTCACTTTGAGCTATCGGGAATTTTGGCTGTGTAAACTCTATGCGTATTTTATAATTTGGGCAAACTAAGTCTTAGAGCTTTCAAGTTGACCAATCAAGCATCCGTGACTGGCATAAATTTTTAGAAGACAACATCCTATTAGTTTTATCTTTTTCTCAGCTGCCCAATTTGAAGCAAAATCCCCTTTGAAGCACATACTTTTGTTTTATTTGTACTTTTTCTTTATACTCAGTACTTGTTAACTTACTCCAATAGGAAGACATGCCATCGCCAGACAAAATTGCAGAGTCGATCCAGGCCCTTGCGCAAAGCCACGATTCAAGATACATTTTTGGCGAGTTACCTCGACCACGGAAAAACACACTTCCCATTAATAATTGAGATATATAATAATATGTAAAGTATAATTGCCAAATATTTATAAAATTCTATTAAGCAATTATTGTTAATAATATATGTTTATTTCATAAATGATACATTGTCTTGGTTATTGTTTATCTGTGATTGGTGCAGTTCACTGGAGAAAAAGTGTTGAATTCTGTTAAATACTATAGTATGTACAAAAAATATTTAAAATGAAATCACTCTTCATGAAGACACTTTACTTGAGTATGTAAGAAGACTGTTTTAACATCAGATTTCTACTATCGCTGACATTACTTTGCGGCATTTAAGAATTTATTTTAATGTTAGTAACCCGAAACATAGCTTTTTCATAACTTTTGTGTTGTTTTCACAACAGTTCATGAAAAAAACAACTTTCAAAAGCATTGCTTAAATAATCTCTGCTGCTTTTCTTACGTTTGCGAGTGATGAGGAATTGACTGTGTTTACCATACCAACGTCTCAAAAACGTCAAGACTTAATGAATTTCTAATCACTTACCGTTTAAATGATCCTTCACATTACAATATATATATATATGTATACAATTGTCGCTTTATGTTTTTCTTAGTTTTTTACATGAGATGTTTTAATTCCAACATAAAAATGTCTTTTACCTAAATGTATTTTTTCAATAAATTACTGCGTTGGTTTCAATTATCTGTTGTGATATATGAAGTATCAGATAGATCTCCAGGAGTTGACATTGGCGCAGGCATCGATGACGTCAACCCACGTGATATCATTTCTTCCTCAAGATGTGAACTATCGCTCGAAAATCTTCCTTGTTGTTTAGCTTTTTTATACACATCAGCTAAAGGTTTTGGCATCGTACTTGTAGAAGATTGTTTGCTCAACTTTCCTTTTTTTTCTTGTGTTTTTTTGTCGTCCATTTCCATGAGCGAACTCTTTTCGTTTATTGCATTCTCATCTTCTGAGGACGTGACATGTACCATATGCGAAGTGGTTGGCTGCGCACGCTCAATAGCATCGTCAGTTCCACTAACTGTGTCATATTCATCACGATGTTCTGACGTCATTAGTTGGTGATCACGTGCTTGGTCTTCCCTTTTCCTCATCATTTCTTTCCGTTCCCTAACTATAACATCCTCGTCCATGTTATCACGTGATTGATGTATGGCCGAATCTCGTTGTCTGCGGTTGTTGATGTCCACTGATCTCCCAGACCCACGTGATGATGGTCTTTTTTGCTGTACTAATGTTGCATATTTCTCATCAGTAAAACTGCGCTCACGTTTCTTTTGAATATCTGGCTCGGACATAAATCGTTTCTTTGATGTTTTACCGCTTTTTGATTTCTTTTCAGGTACAAATGCAGGCAAACTCATGTGAGAAGGTCTGCGTACGTCAGCTATAAGTTTGGTGATGGTGCCATTCGCTACAGGTGCGGTATCTTGAAGAGTTTTTACTCCTTGTTCTAAGGCCTTCAGCCTTAACATGGTCAGTTGTACAGAGGTTCTGATCTTTGCTGTTTCCTTTGTTACATTTGTCATTTTATCAATTAATTCGTCCAAATCAGATTTTTGCGATTCGCCAAATCTTTTACCAAATCTTTCGTTGATCAACTGGTAAATGTCATTAACTTGTAACCGCATTTCTTCCATATGTCTCTTTTTGTGGCGTTCATTACCTGCCTTTAACAGCAGAGCATAAGATTTATTAACCAACGAAATAATTGACAATTATTAGATGAGCTTCAACATGTTATATTAAGAATTATTCACACCGAGGTCAATCTGCTGAAGCTCAAGCGAATAATATCGACTGATGTGTGAAGTTAAGCTCAACCTAATCTGATTATTGTTTTTCATACAACTGTTAATTGAAAAAGCCTTTAAACGTAACCATAAAGTTTTAAAACGTTTTACATAAAATAATCTTAAGAGTTTAGTTTAATCGTCCCCGTGAAAAACACGTAGAAAACTCTACTGAATATTTAACAAAACTCTATTGCGTCTTTATTTGCAATAAATTGTGCCATATCCGTTTTTGAAATGTTAGAAAACTGCAAAAGAATTCCGCCTATATACTTTTTGTGTTTACAGTTCTCAAAGTTTGGTAGGTAGCAAGATAGTGAGAATTAATTGTCGTATCTTAGCTAATCATAATGAGCATTGCGCCTTAATTCAATGTACATACAAAACTTTTATCTACTCTCAACCTTTCTTTCTTAAAAACAACATTTATTTTATTAACGAGCGCTAAAGTAACATTGAAATGAATTTCTATTATGGGGTCATTTGCTGTATTAAGCTTTACAACCGACATGAATAAAACGAAAATATCTTTATTTGAAGCAATCTGGAGTAATTAATTTAAATTAATGCCAGTGCTAGCTTGATTGTTACTGCACCTGTGCGTAAGAAATTCCCTTTATTTTAAATAACTTACGTCATCTTGTGCATCGTAGTCTTTAACTTCAGGACTGCAATGTTCTCTTATAAAATCATAGTAACGCTTCTGATGCGATTTTCTCAACGATTGTTCTAGATTCAAGATTGTCTTTGCTCGTTGCATCGCTGCATTTTCGATTGCATTCTCGTAAACTCTCGTAAACGTGTCGGCAAGCAAAGCAATTAACAAATTAAGGATAATAATGGAGCATATTGAGATATATGTGCCACATAAAACTCTTGCCATGACGGCGTCTCTTTTCTCAAGTTCTTTAAACTCGTAGTTGTCCAACACTGTCATACCAAACACTGAAATAAAAGTAAATTAGATTTTACATTTAATAGAAACCAATAATAAAGCAAAGACTTATAAAACCTTGTGCGTTATCTAACATAAAAATATCTAAATTTGGTAAATAATAACTTTATTTTGTAGAAAAAGTTGTTTTTTTGTTAAACAACAAGTTCGTTGGAACTTCCCTATGCAGTAATTGAAAATGTTAAAACAGGTTCTCAGAAATTATAAGTTTTACGTGTTGACGTAGCAAAATTTTCACAGTGCTATATGAATATAAAGGGCAATACAGTTGAACAAAGGTTAACACATATAGCTAAGTACATAGATTTTAGCATATATACAATGGCAATTTTAAATACAAATGTTATGTTTCATTTAGGTATGTAACAGGCGAAAAATTTTTGCTGCACAGATAATGAAATGAAAGCCAGAAAAGAACAAAAAAAAGGATTAAATAACACAACGCTCCAGTGGGAAGCAAAAAAGCCATCTTATGGTCATTAAGAAACAATATGAAACAATATGAGTGCATGAAGTGTATTTTGGCAAACGTAAACAGCATTTATTAAAACTCTTATGAAGTATGCATACTATTGTTACGGGATTTTTTACCTGAATATAAAAGTTCAGGAAGTGTGTCATAATCATCAACTGGATTCTTACTATAAGCTCCAAATATCATCCAGAAACAAGCCGAGTATGGAATGAAAAAAACTAAGAATAAAAACACCCACTTTAGGATGTCCACCAACATATGGCTAAAAAGAGCGACGAAAGGTCCAGGCCCTTTGAAAGGTCGCGCGTATTTCATTATTCGAAACCATATCACAATAAGCAATAGACAGATGGACCGAATATGAATATCATACACTTGTGATGTGTTTAAAAAGAAAAATGTTGCATGAGTTATTGCAGACGCCATGATTAGAACAAGGGCAAACCAATCTATATAGAACCAGCCATCTTGGGAGCTTAGTAACCTTTCCTCTCGTACAGCTTTTATCTCGCCGTCAAGATATTTTTTTTCATCAGGCCACCTTGGATGGCAAAATGGAAGATCTCGCTCAAGTTCTTTTTCGCGATAACCTATGTTAAAAATTAAAGAGCACTGTTTGTATCATAAGTTATGAAAAAGTCAGCATGGAGCTCAATGGTCGTGAAGACGACGTTAGCTCACACAAAGCAATTTTCTAGCATTTTCAAACTTCATTCTTCAAATTCATATCTTAATAATGGTTTCGTTTAAATTAAGTTTTAGTCCGCAACTGCAAATGATGGATGATGATAAAAAACGTATGGTGGATTTTTGCTATTGACCACGTATCTCCTACGAACACTTTTATGAGAGATTTTCTTTAAATTTGCTCTACATATTACTTTTGTTTCTGCTCAGAACCGAATCATACAGAAGTAAGATATGAACAATTAAACAATGAATATAATACAATAAGAATAATCAAAAATGGCGTACTTTTCCAGGAGGAGAGGTCTTTTTTAACACGATAAATAGAAGCCATCTGTTTAAATATTTCCAAAAATGTCAGAAGCATTACAAGAATAGCTAACAATAATCGCCACCATCGTTTGCTGATTGGTTCGTATAATTCATTGGCATTGTTTGGTAGAGTTACACCAAGAATCGTCCAAAGGATGGAAAACAGTAGATTTGTTGCAAGATCAAGCCACGCTCCTCGCTTTCCAAATTTTTTCCATTTCATATAAACCAAGCGTTGCATGACAGGATGCATAACTATGTCAAATTGTTGCCTTTGAATCGCAACTTCCAGAGGTGTACGGGCACCACTGTTCTGAAATGAAAAAAATTTAGAATTAAAACCTTTGAAAAAGTTTGTGCATGTCACAATATTGAAAATTGACTATATATCTGCTTCATTTGTTCACAAGTCTTCATTAAAAAGCAGCTTGATCATACATGTAAGTTTGTAGTATGTTTTGAAATCCTTATTGTAAAGACCTGTATCATTAGCTTTATGTAAAATTGAGCCTGCAATTATTTCGTAAATTTTATATCAGAATAGTTCAAAAATATCTTACTGCTTCCTCAGACAGTCTTTGTCCCTCGAGATAGTTCAAAAAGTAATATTCTTTTCTATTGATCATATCTTCTGAATGAAACTGGTCCAAGGCAATCAAAGCAACATCAGGCATCTTTAGGATGAGGAGTGACAATGCAACTTCGCCTTTCATATCATAAACTCCTGCTGGTGCTCCCATATCTATAAGAAGCTTTGCTGCTTTGGATCGGCTCATTTCTGCCGCCACCTAAAAATTCAAATTAAAACAATTTTAATAACAAACTATGCTCATTACTTGTCAATGTTCAGTGTGAATACCTCCTTCTACGGTCATGAAAACCAAAACACAAAAAAAAACCAAATAGGTCTTTCCATAGTGCGTACTTATAGAGCAAATTTTTAACTCTGCTATTGAAATTTTGCATATAAGATAAATGTTTTGAGAAATATATATTTATTTGAAAGTAAGTGAGCAAAGAAAAACTAACATAGGAGGCAGTGACGTACATATAAGTGTAGGAGTATAGGGTGGTATCACACCTTCCCAAAATTTGATTTGGAAATCCGTTGGTAGAAATACTATATTAGTTTGGAGAAAACTTTTTGGACGACTTAACATGAAGTAGAAGATACATGAAAATCCATGACTAACTTAATTCTGTTACTTTAATACATTAAATTGCTTCATTTAAATGCAAAGTTGTTCAGTTGTTGAAGTTTAACAGTGTTATATACTGGGAGTTGAGTCGATTGCTGTGTTATTATTTTGAGATCAACGAATTATAATGAATTCACCCATTTATGAAGCGTTATTTAGAAGACCTTAAAAATTGTCGTCGTTTTGCCCGATAGTGTAATCGGTGCAAGTTCGATGGTCAATTGATTAAAAGGATTACACAAATCGCTGATAAACTTTCTAGCAGAACAAAATAACTAAGCTTCATCCGCAGTCTAATGTAACATTATTTATATTTGTTAAAATAGAATATCACACAGTGAGGAAAATCTCGTCAATAAAACATTGATTAGACGTCGACTTTTGAGGTTTCGACGTCTCGAAACAACGTTGAAACGACATCGGGTACCCACTGGCCATTATTAAATATGTTTTTCTTATGTATTTATAAACTATTTCTATCTAGGCTAGACATAACATTAGCCATTTTTGCTCTCTTAGCGTGCTTTTTATTCTTTTTTCTGTTTTAATTATCTAACAAAATTAATAAATTTTTCGACAGCTTTTAGATACAAAAGCAATAATTTAGTTTTTCACAATCAATCTAAATTTGGTCATTAGCATGATGTAAACAAAACAATTTGCTTAATGAGACACTGCAATCTGTCTTTTAAAAGCTTGTTCCCTTTTGCAACTCACTAAGGACAATACAGAATTCAACTAATTAATAAGTAACCAAGTAATTTCGCCAATGACAGCAAGACTTTGCCAAATACTTCAAATGAAGCAATTTTTAGAGTGAAAATTCAATTTTTGATATGTTATAAAGACATTTTGACTTTTGAGTTCTAACTCATTTAGTTTTAGTGTGAGAGAGCGTAGATTCCTCGAACGTTCCTCGTGTAATATTTTGTCTTACTATTGTATGCTTTACCATAAATGCATTAATTTTAGTTGGATGCATAACCCCTATTGTCTACAGTGTACCTGTAGTGGTGTTCTATCTTGATAGTCTCTTGCTCCCATGTCAGCATCATAAGCCATCAACATTTTAAGAGAAAGACACGCATCATTTTTGGCGGCAAAATGTATTGGAGACTGTCCTTCTCCATTTGTTTTTATGTTAACGTCGGCTCCATTATTGATGAGAAACTCGACCATCTTAGCATAGTCTACAGCAGCTGCCACATGAAGAGGAGCACGACCAAATTTATCTTGCTGATCGATACGAGCACCTGGAGTTGAAACATTAGAGATTATTTTAAAACAGGGTTTATCGTGCAAAAAAACAGTAAAGTTTAAAAAATGACAAACTTCCTATATCAGTAACACGTATGCACTCTACATTAATATTAAAAACGAAATTGCTGTGGAGGCAAAAGTTATAAAAAAAAGGGAATAAAGATAGCCCTAAAACATGCAGTATCTACACAATAAATTCATTCACCTTAGGAGAGCACCTACTCCGTACGCAGAGACCAAGAAAAGATTAATTTGAAAAGATGTTTTGAAATACAGTTGCTGGATTCAAGGTAGCAGACATGTTTATGCTATTTTCCCAGGTCTATTTTATTCGATCATTTGTACATACAATCTGGTTATAATATTATTTCCTAATATTTTATATCCATGCATGACAGGTTTTGAATCATTTTCATATTATTTTGTAATGCATTATTTTTGTATTAATGAATTCTCACCATTTTTTAACAAAATTGTGCAACATCTAGATGCCAGCTTCGAGCTACTTCATGAAATATTGTCTGACCATGTTTATCGCGGGCATTTATATCTGCACCATTTTTTAATAGAGACTCAACAAATGAGAAATCAAACGTGTCGTTATCGTTATTTGAACTTGCAAGTTGAGCGATATAATGAATTAAAGCATGGTTCCTAAATAAAAATAAAAAAAGGTTAATTTAGAGAAAACAAAAAAGTCTTTAAAGAGAAAAGTAACATACACATAAAGAAAAGTAACACACTCTGCGCTTTTATATTATTACTTCTCTTACCATTATATTTTTATAGAACATATTTTATAATTGAAATAACTATTATTTGAACTCTGGATGAAGAAGTCGTAATTGATTAAAGTTTTAAATTCCTCAAATAGCATAATTCCAACAAATTTATGCTACAATCTTAAGAATAAACGTAATATTTATAATTTAAAATGGACACATTTATTTCACATATATTATATACTTATTGATTTAGAAATGTTTTGCAATTCCTAAAAGTATACGTTCTTTTTATCATTGAAATTTCGTTTGAATTAAGAAAATAGCGATAACTGCTGTGTTCTTTAAGGTTGTCAGTTTCTTCAAACATTCATTATAGTAATTGACTACCTGACTTTGACTGTTGCGCCCATTCCTCTTCCTTTTTCATCTTCTGTATCTTCTAAGTCACTCTCTAAAACAGCGTGCATTGCTTGATTCGTCTTCTTACTTGCTCCAGGGATCTCTTGCATTAACATTTCTTCGTACTTCATGTAACGCTTTCTTGTCTGCCTTTTGGGTGTAAGCTTTTGCCAATCGTTAGCGATCTTTCGTACAATTGTCATGTTTCGCTCATTCAAAGAAGGAACTCCGTTTTCTGTTGCTCCACAGGATTTCTCTGCATTGTCTGACTGCATTTTTGACTTTTGATATGCCTTAAAAAACGAAACAGGACATTATTTTTGTGTTTATCTGTGCAAAAATTATTTAAAAACCTTTTAGAAAAAGCAGCTTTTCAAGCCTAATTTACCGAGAGTCTTCTTAGTAGTTTCTTTGAAAAATGATAGATAGAGCTCTTTAGGAGCACACTACTAAAAATAGCTATTCAACCGAAAAAACTTAAAAAACTCAACTTATTAAATGCCTAAAAAGCATGATTAAAATAAAATAAGTGAAATATTCGGTTTACAATCAAGATAATATAAATATACATATATAATTTCAGTTACGTTACAAAAGTCAATCATGAATCATCGAAACACTTAATGCCTATACTGCATGCAGTTTTAAAGACATTTTCATTTTCTTTATTGATTTATTTAAGAATAATCATGTTAGTAATGAATGATTTCAAATAATTGCATAATACTTGCTTAATTTTTCAGTAATATGCGATATTAACATTTGGTTTGTTTTTAAGTTAGTACGTAAATTCACTAATAAATACTTATGCAACAAATGCTCTTAAACTTAGATGATCAATGGTATATGAGTGGAAGTTAATTGTGATAGTTTTTTTATTTTTTTTTATTATTAATTCATTGTGCGTATCACAATTAAAAAAATTATCAAATTTGTGGTGTGTGCAAACATCTCTACATATCGTATATGCAATTTTGGTAAACCAACTTATAACTTTAAACCAAGTTTGAGATAATTGATAAGCAACATTGAACTTATAGTGCAGTGCTCTTTGAAAAAATTACTGCTTTTGTATTTCTAAATTTACTTTAGTAAAAGATACATTTTCATTCAATGTCTATGAAGAAAAACAAAACGCCATACACATTCATGGGTAGACTGCAAAGATTTTTAATGTTTTATCTCTAATGAGATAACATTAATAACATCATAAAATTTGGAGTTCATTCAAACAGACTAAAACAGTGGAAAATGCGTCAACGATATACAAAATTTATAAATGGTGTATTATCTAGAGCAATATCTCAATAAAGAATCAGTTATATTTGATCCAATGACAATCTTTTATCTCTTGTAGTTTAAATGACAGATCTAGATCTGACATGTTATGATAACAACGTGTTACTGTACTACATAGACTGTTCTAGAAGACTTAAAACAGTTATTTATTGGTGGTAGTTAATGATCAGTTTGGCGATGATTGCATGTTAACGATATTGTAATGAAATAAAGGGGAAAGGCTGCAGTACTTATTCTTTATTATTCTTTGAGCATCAATAGATTCTATTGTTACTGTTAAATGAAAATTTCTTAACACTGTATAACATGAAGTACGTTTTCAGTCACAATTTTACCTATAAATATATTAAAATTATACAGAAATGCCTTACAAGTTATATTATTCAAAGAGAATGCGTGATAACATTATTGTCTTTTTATGCAGATTAATAAATTAATTAAATATTTTACTTTGCCAGCTGATCGGGTCGAAAGCTCACTGTTAATAATTTATAACACAAGTCTGCAAGAAGTATAAAACTATTCTAAATCAAAAATTGATATCGTGCATACAGAAACCATTTTATGTTGCATTAAATCATTGACTCTTTAATAAAAATGTAGTTTTATTCCAAAACATTGTTTTTTAGGGCGAAATAGTTCAACGGAAAGGAAGGCATGCATAATTAACCTCAGACAGAAAACTACAAGTATTTACATAAAAATCAAAAGAATAACTAAGGCTATAGGTTTTACTGCATTTAATAATCATAAATATTTTAAACCATGGCTGCAATACTGTACAAATTGAGGCATTGGACAAATGATTTTTAAATAAAATAAGTTCTAGCTAGATCTTGTGTGGTTTAATTGTCAACTGTCGCTATTGGCAACTACAATCAAACATGATCGACATGATATGCAAATGCTACTTGAGAGATAACATAGCTGTGATATTTGGAAATTTTGTTTAGATATGTTTTATTGGCAACTATATATTAAGCATTATAATACACAAATATATAATAAAACTGTGACTGGAGTAGCCCAAGCGTAAATGTAATAGTGGGCATTAATTGTTGAAGTAACTTCAATTTATTAAAAAATGAGAAGTAGATTCATTTAAGGAAAGGCTTAATGATATATTTTAAGCTCTATTGTATATCTGGAAGTAAAGAAAACGTTTAATTTTCCTTAAAACTGTTATTCGTGTCATGTACAAAAACATAAAAGTTAGCTGAAGCAAAATGTATAGATTATGTGTATGCAAATGCATGTCAAAATGATAAAATGATAAAATTTTTAATATGATTCCCATCAAATTTTATTTTCTAGAATACTTTTATGCTCCCTTATTATGATTTATTTTTGCAATTGTAATTTTGGTGATAATGAAAAGTCAATGGTTATTTTTATCTAAAGTTGTCTTAATGGCGGTTTGTTTCATCAAATATAACACATACTAAAGCACAATACTTCTTTTTAATACGTTTATGTAGAGAGCAGATTTTTCATACAAACTAATTTTTTATGTTTATGTCACTGAACAAAAATTTTCCTAGCATGTGGTTTGCACAAATTTTATTAGTCATATATATTTGTTAAAAAATCATGCTGCAAATATTGCTTCAAGTGAGCTGGAAAAAATTATGTTACATTAGTCCCGAAGTATGATGCATAACTTGATTGAAATAGCAGAAAATTAGTTTGTGTCATCGTGTGTAAAGTGTCAGAAAAATAGCTGCTTTTAATGTCACTCGCAAATAATAAAGAATTATATATTATTCACGCGGTAAGATAATGTAGAATAATGTGGCTCTTTTCCTATGAGTACAAAATATTCATCGCCTTCAAATCAGTCATGTTAAATAAGTTAACTACAATTTCTTTCTTAAAAAAAAAAGTAACACAGTAATCTTAAACAAACTCTTAAAAAGAATATTTTTGTGCAATTTTAAAAAACGCGTAAGCATCTCCATTAAGGAGATACATTGCCTTCCATTACATTTCATGTACATATATAGCTATACAAGTCAACTTGTTAGGCCCAAGTCATGTAAAGGGAGATTACATCAGCAAGTATCAGGCAAATGCGATTTTAGCAACTTTGTTCCTATGGATTGATTGTTATGACATTAAAAATTTTGTTTTACTGTAGATTATTCTGTATAAAAAAGAAACCGCAATATATCTTTCTTGTTTTGCTACTCCATTTTTGCTGTTCGTTTTCATCAGTTTTAAATTAATGCAAGTTACTCTTACACATTATGTATACAGATAACACTGCCATGGATAGATTTTATTAAAAAATTTGTAGTACCAAGCTTACGTGCTTGAATCATTAAAATGGCGTAATATCAATGAAAACATATACTGAAAAGCGGTGCATTATTTACTTTCTTCTAAAACAATAAAACTATTACTTTTCATATAAACCAGAGCATTAAATAGAACAAATCGTAGAAAATATTCATATTCTTGACATACCCAATTCAACTGCAACTTTAACTCTTGGTCATTGTCAGCATATAAACTTCAAAGGGGAAAATTGCGGTTTTAAGACGATTTTTATCTGAGCATAAAGTTAACGGCATATTTTAACATCTGTCAATTTCCAGCTATATCTCACTGACACATATTTCTATTTAAAGAATGGACATTAATAATTTACTATATATACTGAGATTCAGTAATTTATGGAAGTTTTGAAACATAAGTATGTTTTCGGAGAGCCTAGGACATCTTTTATAGCTAAGGGGCGCATTATTATTCGTAATTTTTTTCAATATGCATGTCTAAAGAGTAGCAATTTTATGGCTATCAGGTATAGTATCAAACATACGAGTATAACAATGGAGTGGGTTTCCATGTGAAACACATTACGAAAATGTGGTGGATTTTGACGTGCAAAGCAAAAACGTAAGCTGTATGAAAATTGTAGCAATACCCTTAATAAAAATACATTTTACACTGAGTAAAAAAAAGTTGCAAAAGCAGGATAAGGCATATAGAAAATAGAGGATTTATAAAAATAAGTTGTAATCTTGATTAACTTTCATTTCAAATCGCCTTTAAAACATTTGTGAATGGCAACAGCATGATAATGCTCAAAGACGAAAAAGAGCCTTTTAGCTATGTCATTATCCCTTAAATGACCTGCTTAATGAACGTTTGAGTCACGTTCAAATCGTGTACACAGGTGTTTTATATAGTTATTATATTGTTTCTTTCAACAAAAACTTAGATTGTATTCATCTTTAGGTAATTTGAAAAGGGAATTTCTTTAGGTATATCTAGCAAAACCATTAATACAAGCATTCTTTAACCAGATGACTGTTATATAAAAAACTTATTGTAAAATACTGCTGACAGACTGTATGAGTTTTGTTGCAAAATATATAAACATTTCATAATATGCCTCGACGTAATATCTACTTTAATTAACAATGTTTTGGTAACAAAATTATGATGTAAGACGAAGCCCAGCAAGTACTAAGGAAGAAGTTTACTTTTAGTACATTTGATTGCTTGGGAAAACAAACATAATCTATAAGGTTAATCTATAAATGATTCTATCAAAATTTGAGGATTAATACAAGCAGGCCGACTAAATTTCCAGAAAATACTAGCAGCAAGTTTCCTATTTGGAGAGTATACACTCGACACTCCTCAGCAGCAAACAAACTTTTACCAAAACTAGGAACGGCGATCAAAACTATTACATTAGAAGCATCTTCACTTTTCTTGTTAAGCCACGTGTGAAGTTTTCCGAATAACCATTTTCTAGTGCATTTGAAGTATTTCATAATAAGATCTTGCAACAAAACATTAAAATTCTAAGTTTCTCAAGATATGAACATATTTTGTTTTTAAACACATATTTCATTCCACTAAATCTTACTTTATGTTTACTATCTGTTTTCCTTTGATACAAAAGTTTTCAAATATTTCAATATAGTTTGCCTCACCAGGACTGGGATGAGCTTCCCTTATATAGACCCCAACCTTATTAGCAATATTAGATACAAACATGTACGCGAATTTTGCGAGCTTTGAATAACGTTTTGAGAAACATACATAAAAGCTCTTTAACACTATTTTACAGCTTGAATATCCAATTTCATCAAACAACGATGTCTTACGTGCTATGCACGTTTACCAAAATTTTTGTTAAACTCATGTTCTGTATCTTTGTATGGGGTAAATTTATTCGCCAGACATTGTTATTTTAAAAGTCTGGCGATAATCAAAGTGTTTTATTTTAGTAAAATATGATGGATAAGTCATTGTTTACAGTAGATCAAGAGCTTAATGAACTAGACGAATTTCAAAATGACTTAGTTTATGGCAGTGAACCTAATATTTGGGACAATGACGATAATTTCATCACCCAAAGATTTTGAACCTAATTCTGCCAATCTAATTTCAATTACTTCAATATCTGCAAGTGCAGAAGTGAAAAATGTTGATGTCAGTATGGTTGTAGAAAACAATGTGAAGCGCCAACCTATTTTACATTTTTGGATTTGAAAAGTGGATATTGGTAAATTGCTGTGTACGAAAACGACCGCCACAAAACTGCATTTGTAACACTGAGTGGTTTATACGAATTTGGCCGAATACCATTTGGCCTTTCCACTACACCAGCCATTTTCCAGTGTGTAATGGACATTGTGTGATCCGAGTTAACTTATAAAATCTGCTCGCATTACTTTCATAATGTCATAGTTTACATCGATTACGCAAGTACAACTTGTGTGTTAAGTTATTGAAATTTACCATTGCTGCACAACAAGTTTCATTTTCAGGGCATATCATTTCTGCACCTGGGATCAACCCAGATCCTGCTAAAACTGCTGCTAACAGTGAAATGGCCTGCACTACAACGCTTGAGAACATACGCAGTTTTTAAGCCTGGCTGGTTACTACCGGAAATTTATCTCTATTTTGCCTCTATTGCTTCGCTGCTTGTTTGTTTGACTGAGAAAAATGTTCCTTTTTGCTGGTCTGACAAATGTGAGGATGCCTTTATTGCTTAGAAATCTTTACTTTTCTCAGCTCCTATTCTAGGCTTTCCCAAATTTCATCGCGATTTATATTACAAACAGACGCTTCTGACTTCGGTGTCGGTGCAGTCTTGTCGGAGGTCGATGATAACGGGAAAGAGAAAGTCATTGCTTATGATTCTAAAGCCCTATCTGCGCCACAGAAAAAGTTCTCTGCTACCGAAAAAGAAGCTTATGCATTAGTTTTTGGCACTCAACATTTCAAAGTTTATTTGTTAGGAGAGCATTTTAGGACTATTACAGACCATACAATGGAACCAATAGTCGTTCGGCAAGGTGGATTCTTGATTTGAAAGAGTTTAGTTTTTCGTTCTCCACCGACCAGAGCGCTTGCACAACAATGCCGAAGCATTGTCTCGACTAATACCACATCAACGGGGGATCGTGAAAAGCCAGCTAAAACTTGTGAAACTGTCCACTCAGATACTATGTGCGCACCTGTTTATACAACTGTACAACTGCAGCTCTCAACTGGAAAAATTGTCACAATAAAATTTGAAAGTGCGCAACCCTTTAATATTCCAGATTTAGCAGTGCCCCATGTTACTGAAGTTAGGAAACGAAGGCAAAAACAGTTTAAAAGCACTTGCAAGGCTCCCGTTCAACCGTCAAACAGTCTTGGACCATCAGCATGCGCTTTATCTATTGATCTTGAATTTGCATCAGGAGCAACTACGTAACCCCTGTCGTCTAAACTAATTGCCATATTAAAGCGCGTGGAATCACACGCTCATCACAGGGAGAGGCTGACAGCCCTCCTAAAAGCATGGTACACCTACTACCATCACTTTTTATTGCATTAGGGTTTACCAGTGCGGTCTATCGGTAAGCGTACTACCACGCATCCTTACCATGTCATCAAGTTACCACAAAATCTTCGTGAGACAATTTTAGCGTCAGTGCAAGATAACCCCTTTGTGGGCAATTTAGGCATCACATTTACGATGGATCAAAACGACTGCATACCAACCAAGTGTGATGGCCAGACAGAAAGACAAAATTCGTCACCTCAGCACATACTTGCATCATTCGTTTCCGAACGTAAAAATGATTGGCATTTATGGCTAGATAGTGATGTTTAATTATAAAACACAAGCAGATACGACGTCCTAGGATGTTCGCCTTATAAGGTCGTTTTCATACACACTCCCCGTATACCACTTGAACTAGAAATTGGGATGCCGCTGTCGCACCCGGTTTCTCGTATCGATTACATCCGGCAATTAAGAGGGGTATTTTGTGAAATTCGGAAGATTGAAAAGAAACAGTTAATTCGCGTAACTAAAGAAAGAGCAGGTCGAATACCAGAAACGAACACTTGGCAGCCATTTCAAGAGGGTCAAATGGTCATGTTGAGAAGGCCTAAAGGATGGAAATTTGGGAGTAAGCCGGAAGGGCCTTTCAAAATTCTAAAACGTACGGGAGTTAATTACAGAATTTTTCATGGTGGTAAAGACAAAGTTGCTCATCATGATCAACTTAAATTAAGATGTGTCCCTTTTCGACAGGGCGAAACAGTTTGCCCAACTAGGGAAGTAGGCGAGTTCTAGGTGGCTGACAATATGCATGCACAAATGGCAAACCACAGACTAAGGCTGGTAGACTAAGACAACTTATTTGCCCTGTTGATCGGTATTGATATAGTAACTAATTTGCTTGCGAGCATGTTCTCGGGATAAGAGCACTTAAGGAGAAGGGTGATGTAGCAAACATCCGTTCAAAACAGCTGTGTAAAATAGTTCTCTTTGTGCTGTCAAAAATAACATCGGCTTTAAATAATCCTCCCTTCTCATACACCCTTCCATTACGTTGTTGATATACATATTTGATATAAATTGCTTCCTTTAGTCATAGTTTACTCTAATGTCTTACATTATAAATATTGCTTCTAACGTTAATAAAGTTAGTCCCGAACTGGAATCGTTTCTCTTACTGTCTCGGTACGCTACACATTAAATCTTGCTGTATCTTGAAAAACTATAAAACTCTTGCTGGCAGACCACCTGTGAATACATCATAATTAATTGCTTTGGATCCAATAGGAAGCGTTTTTGTAACAACTCTCATATTGTTTAGAAAATAATGACACTCTTTATTTTCTTGTATCTGTTTATTATTTATCGCTTTACTCAATTGATAATTTGGTATTTGAAGTTATTGAAAGTGTGCAAGAAAGACGCATTTTTAATGATTGTAATGTCTTTAACTCTCATATTGTTTATGCATGTGATCTCGATTTAAGAAAAATAAAGGAGATTAATAAAATGATGACTTAGAAAAATGGAGACTATTCTGTCTCACGCATTTGGCAAACTTTCATATCATCAAGATAAAAGTTAAAGTGATTGGCTTGATTCCAAAGCCATCATCAAAAAGTTAATATAGTATTAATCCTATACAAAATAAAACAAATTCCGAAAAGGGACATCTCGTTTTCTTGATATTCAAGATAATACAAGAGTTTGAAACAAAAGATGGTGTAATATTTCGTCTTTATTCCAAAGACATCGTCAGATGCGTATAGGTTTTGT